CATTATTGCATTTCAGGCTCAACCTAATCTTAAGTGAAATCTCAGCTTTAGTTTCTGTTTTACATTTGCTCATCTTCACACTTACGTTCCAGTCAATCCTTTCACCTTTCTGCTTCTACTGTTTTCTCCCTTACGTTTGCCCCTACCTTCCTTCAGATCTTCCTTTTAAACATTTTTTTCTGACAGTCGTTTTAGAACTGATAATCTTTCCCATATCCAAACTACTTTTTGATGTCTTTTATAATTTTTCTTGTCTGATTTGGTCTCAATTATGTTGCTTTGACAAGGTCCTTTGCTGGAACTAAGTGGCGGAGTCAGAAACTGTGTGCAAATCTCCTTTTAAGTAATCCTGTGTGAGAGCAGAGAGGAACCATTGAAAAAGCTCTCAGGAGCTTTGTACCTGTCCATTTCTGCTTACAAATGGCATGTAAATATAAGGTATACAATTATATACAATTTTGGTAATAACTTCGTAGAAGCTGGAAAAAATTATATATAGGCAATACACTTGCATTGGTAAATGATATATACAGCTATAGCTAATTAGTCCTATCTGGCTTTCAGATTGTGCATAATTCTCTCATTTTAAAGCATGCCACCTGGAGAATGTATTTGAATCAGAATAGTGAGTGAGATTACAAAGGATAATTTTCTGTCTCTTGGATGTGCAGAGTACTGTGTAAGCAAGATTTTTAATAAATTAGAGCTTGCCAGTAAGCCAAATAGTACACATTTCCCTTTTCATATGGACTTCTTCCTTTGTGAGGGAGCAAGATATAATTCTGAGAGTTTTGGTTCTGAACTGATGAGGAATTCTAATAACAAAAGATAACTTTAAAAAATAATTGCCGATATATAATATAAGGCAGTATGATTTATAATGTATGTTCTTAGCTGGAGCAGTTCCTTTACAGTGAATTTGGAGGAGAAAGGAGAATTTGGAGGAGAGAAGAATAAAACCATAACTATTTTCTCAGAAAGTATAGGACAGCCTATAGTATAAAAGTGATAGTCTGAATCATATATATTCACACTTTTATTTCTTCTTTAGCTGTCTGTTTTCTAGTTTACTGAGAGAATTGCCTAGAGTATAAAAGCAGTAGTCTGAATCATACACATTACCACTTCAATTTCTTCTTCAGACATCAGGTTTTTAGTTTACTGACAGAATTGCCTATAGTATAAAAGTAATGGTCTGAATCATATACATTATCACTTTAATTTCTTCTTTAGGTATCAATTCTCTATTTACTGACAGAATTTTTAATTTTTTTTCCCACAAAAGGTATTTTAAATTTTTATTTCTATATGTTCCGTCTTTTCTGTGCAGGTTTTATATTGCGAAGTGTTGCCACATGAAGATTTAATTCTTATAATCATGAATGCTTAGGATGATACGGTTTTACTTCATTAAGTTATGTTTGTAGTTTCTTTTTATTCTGTCTTTTTAGATTAAAAGAAGTATATGGAAGTTGATTTAGAATAATGATGGAATACAGTGTTACTTCCTGAGCCTTTCAGCTTTTCCAATGTTTCTTTGAGTATTATGCTTTTACTCAAGTGTATGTATCTATACACAGTACAATATAAAAAGATAATAAAATATTTTATCTTAACCTCTAAATTAAATTATGCTATTTTTAGGTAGTATGTTGGTTATTGTAGTGACTGTATCTTCAGTGCCTCCAGAACTTCTAGTGCACTGTTAAGTTCTTAATAATCAATAAAAATATCCAGTAGATATAGTTATTTCAAAAAATGAAAGTAGATTCTTTGATGACTTGATGACTTTGATTTGCATACACCCCCCACCCCCCCCACCCCCAATAGGAATAGAAAGACTTGATTAAAAGAAGTTCTCTTTTAGCAGTTTACAGCTATTTACCCTTCTGGTATTTGCTTTCTCACTCAGGGCTCATTTTCACTAAGCATCCATGACTCTAACTGGGAACAGATACATCTGCAATTGTTCCAACAGGACTGAAAATTAGGAGCTTTATCTTTAAGTGTGTTTTATAAAACTAGTTGAAATCTAAACCCAGTGAAAGTAGAGTATGTGCTTCTTTTTGATACAGCTCTAGGAATAGATTTAGATTTGATGCAGTTCATGATGGGGACAGAGGTTAACTGTTACATGGAACTACTTTACTCATATCTTGAAGATCCATTGCTGTTCTCTAACATAGCTCATGTCCTGGTAACATGATAGGATGACTCCTTTAGTTAGGAGGCCAAATATTAGTTTTGGTCAGGCTTCCCTTCCAGAGAGCTTATTAAGCAGAATATGGTACAAGTCTTGTTGCTTAGACAGCACTCAGGAATAGATCACAGGGGAGCTGAGATGGACAATCTGGGGTGGCAGCAAATGGAATTACTCTGACAGCCTCATTGAGTTTTTAGAGCACTGTTACGATACATGACCTTTTTCTAGCCAAAGTAGCAGGACTATCTGGCACAGGGCATAACTCATTGGTGGCTGAAAGGAAATAAAGCACATCTTCAGGACCAAATTTTGTGAAGAAAAGCTGTAATTGCATCTGGAAATTAATCGACATCCATAATAACTAATATCTTCTGTACAATGCTTTGATTATGATTTATTAATAGGATTATAGTGTGTTTATTAAGTGTTTCTGCCTGCTTAAAGTAGCACTGGAGTCCCAACTGATGTTCCTAGTAATCACTTCATATGAGAGATTTAACTTGAATTTAACTTGACTATTACCATTTCAATGATGGATTCAATTTTGAAAGCATGTAGTCCATTTGATAAATCCATGTATTTTTACCTTAACTGTGCAAAAAAAAAAAAGACTGAAATTCAGAAGTATAATTCACAGAATGAGATTAAAAATTAACATTATTTATAAAAAGCTTTGAGAAACTTAATTTTGGTAAACATGTATGTGTCTTTGTGTATTTAGGTCTTTAATAGGTCAAAATGATATATTATATTGCAGTAATAGAAACTGAAAAACAGAAAAACCTAATCCTTTGGTTTCATGGCTGTAAATCAGAAGGAAGACCATGGAAATCAGTAGAGTTTTATGAAAGAGTGTAACTGGTTTAGGTGGGAATTGGCTTTGGTATTTCTTTTAAGTATTTTGAGTGGAGCTCCAGTTCTTTGGGACAACAGGAAGGATTAGTATGAAAATTATGAATACAGCTTTTTTTTAAACAGCATTATACTACAGTTTCCAAATATTTCTACATCAGTGTCTATATTTTAGAATACCTAAGTCAGTAGAAGGAAGAGTGGATACTGAATATATTTTTAATGAAGTGTAAGTTCTCCCCATCTGGAAGGCTTTTGTACTGCTTTCTGAAAGGTTTCATTATCATTGCTCACAGTTGTTGGTGGTTCCGATTGTGAAGATAAATGTCAGAAATCCAAAGGTTAGTAGGATAATGTGGAGATTAGTTTAAGAAAGAAATCAATTAGATATTATGATGAATTATTTGTGAAGCCGGGCTATGAGGTAGACTTGACAAATTAAACTGGTTGTCCTTCTTATATTAAAAATCACTCTTGCTGAACTCAAGAATGCCATTTAAGACATTGTTGAAAAACTTCACTTATTCATAGCTAAAGATTGCGATAAGGTGAGGCAATGCACAGCGAAAAAACCACCAGCAATGAGTCTTCCAGTTCTGTTAATGTGAAGATTCTACTTTTAAGTGAAAGCAGAGTAAAAAAACCAAACCAAACCAAAACACAAAAAAAACAACTAAAGAAGGGAGGTGAGAGAAAGAGAGACTCTGCTTTTAAGTGATCTGTATTAAGTTAAGCTTCCATTGGAGTCAGTAACAGTTTTCTTGAGAAAGAACTGCTGCTAGAACTGCTGCCATGTGATGTTCATGATGTGCCGATGGCTCATGATTATTCTGACATGATGTTTTTTATTCCCTGGACACATTGTAGTATGAATAGTATTATGTAGATATTAAAGCTACATGTGCAGTGGCTTTCCACAAATGATTTTTCAGATAAAATTATTTTTTTAGTATTAAAAAGATGAAGGATTCTTAAACATTGGCCAGGACTGTCTGTTTCAGAAGAGGAAGAGAAGGGAGTTACGGAATAACTTGACTTGCGAGAAGGCCTTTTCTTTATCCCTGGGGGTGGTTGTTTCTTCTGAATAAAGACAGTTTAATGTAATTTTATTTTTCCTAATGTAACTGTATTTCTCATAATCTTGCTATTTGGAGCCTGTTGTAGTGATGAGTTTTGATACACAGACATTCATTCATAAAGCACTGATCATGGAACACCTCTACATAACAAAACCTTTTCATTTTTAGTGACTACCTTTAATTTGGGGTGATCATTTGGAGCTGAAAGATTTTGTATTAATTATACTTGTATTAAATTATCTTTGCAGTAGAAGAGAAAGTGGGGGGAAGTAGGATCTGTAAACATAACTTTGTCACAAGGTGAAGTTTCCAATGAAATGACTTTGGCAGATATCAAATAAAATTAAGAAACCACACTAAGACAACATGCATGGAATAAAATACGAACATAGGCAGTTGTTTAAAAAAAAATCAGAAACATTAGAAACATTTGCGTATGAGTGTTCCTTTCCTTTCCTTTCCTTCCTGTAGGAAGACCGGGTAGTGAACCATTTGGCAGCAAAGATAATTGAAAATGTTTGCACTACTCTCTCTTGCCATGCCCAAGGATTTATTACAGGAGAAATTGGACCTGTCTTGTGGTACCTTTTCACACATTCTACAGTAGATTCTTTGAAGATAACTGCTGTTTCGGTAAGGAATTTCCTTTTGTGATATAGAAATGTTTGGGGGTTTATTTTGAAAAGCATTCTGAATTGAAACTGAAATGGGTTTGAGCATATTTTCTGTTATCTATGTGTATTTTTATATTTCAAATTACATTAAAATATCTTTACAAATTTTCTGAAATTGGAAAGTGCAAGTATTGCGTACCATCCACTACTTATGAAAAATCCTTGTGATTCATCATTTTCTGGAACATATATTGTCTTATGCTGGTGTTCATGAGTTATGTTTGAAAAGTTTAATCTTTCAAAGAATCAATTAAATTCTTGCAAAATTGAAATGTCTTTTTTGTATGATGTTTTTACGTGAAAAGTGTTTATTCTTTTTATCACAGACTTGCTTAGAAGACATATTTGAAATTGTCATGTTAATTTCTATAAAATTGTCAGGGCTAGTCTTTGCCCTGAATTTGTAAGTTAATATAAGATAACAAGACAAACAGAGCTATGACATGCAAGCAAAAGGTTTGGAACAAAAACATTTGTGAGGTAGAAAATACTTAGTAGGGCTGTGAGTTTAACCATATCTCTTGTTGACAAAACAAAACCCTTACCCACCAATACAGGTAATATTTTAGAACTGAACAATAAGTTGACTTATTTTAAATGAAGTGTGATAACTGGATGCTCATTTCCTGAGTGAGCTCGGGCTCACTAATGAGTTTACTGTTTGCTTCCCAGATGGAAAATTGTAACGTTGCTGCAGCAGCAGTATGCGCTTAGACACATGTAGCTTTGAGGTAACAAAAGAGAGAGAATTAAAAATATATCTGAAGTGTGGCTGAAGAGATTAATGGTAGAATAAATTTATAATTTTTAAAAATATACGTATTCATTAAACATTTGCCTCAGTGTGTATTTGTGGCAGAGTCTTGCTTGGGAAATAAACTGCTTAAATATTGGGAAAATGTGTTGACTTTTTAGAACAGTAAACTTATTTAGTAAAATACATGTTACAGAAGCCTTTGTTCTGTGGCATCTGAAATTCCTTGTAAAAACTTAGTCTTAGAACTTTTATGGGTAGAGGATTGTCAGTCTCTAAAAATGTAAAATGTACGTGTAACCTTTATACAGAGCATTTATAACTTAAGCCTGCTTGTGAGTTTGGCTGGTAGGCTGCTTTTTCAGAAAGGCTCTTTTTGAGACTTTATCCATTTGATCTGTGAATTTCATGCTTACATCATGACTGTATACATGGTAAAAGACTGGAGATTAGAGTTATGATTTCTTTTACTTATTGAGTATTTAAACAAGTCTGCTCAATCTTCTCTCCTACCACTACTTTTGCTGTATGGGATGTTTTGTATCTTGTGCTTTCAGTTCTTGTCAATCGTTAGACTGGCCAGTTGTTATTTGTTTGCTACTAGATCATAGCTTTTTATTTTATTTTTATCCCTTTCAACTTGTCCCAAAGTTTTCCTCCTGTTTCTCTTCTATCTACTTGGAGAACTTTGCTTCAGCATTTACCATTCCCTCAACTCCTTTGCCAGACTTCCAGAGCTGCTCCACTAGCAGGGGCCGGTTGGACATTTATACCTGTTTTGTATGCCACAGTGAGCAGCATATCCAGAGAAATAGTCTGTCTGAACTACATTCAGACACTGAGCAAAGATCACCAGAGGAAATGTCAGTGGGCTTCCCCCACTCCCCCTCGAGAAGTCAGTTTCTCTTGGACAATACAGTATTCTTGAGGTAGGCAAAAGCTTTTTTGCTGCTCAGTAAGATGCAGAAGTTATACTTGTGATTCTCAAGAATACACTTGTCGTCAGTGCAGACTCACTAGGGCTTTTTGTAGCTGTCGGCTCAGAGGTTAGTATCATCAGTGCCATATGGTTTGCACACTTTGCCCTTAGATGAAGTTTCTAGTGACTATGAGAAGAGAGGGTTGTTGTTTTTCCCTCTCTACCCTCAGCCTCTTTTGAGATCCCAGATCATTCGATCCTCCCAAGGCTGTGCAGTTGAGGTGAACCACTGAGAACTCTTTGTTGTAGTATCTATGCTATGGGTAGCTAGGCTCTCTTAAGCACTACTGGAGTTGCCTTTTTTTTTTTCCCACAGCATCTGATGAGAAGAAAATCTTCATGCATCTTATCTGGAAGGTAGGAAAAAATGTTTAAGAGGAAGCTAAAACCTGAAGGGCTTATTGGAGCCTAGTTTACTACTCCTTTTTTTTTTTTTCTTTTTTTCTTTTTAGTGTCCATTGACAGCTACTACTACTTACTAATCAGTGAGGCTTTTTTAATTGCTCAGTTCAGGCAAACAGTGCTGGCATTTCTGTCATCTCTTCCAAGTGAGGAGATTGAAAGTATCATAGATTTTGAGTTCCTTCACCTCTTGTCATTGCAGCTGTGATAGAGCAACCTAATCTCTATGGGCTTCTTGCTCAACCAGGGACGTTAAATGCAGTGACATGTATAGTAAGTTACCATATTTACACTGTAGTTCAAAATTGAATCATCTGGCTCTCTGGGGTTGGTACTCATAAGACTTGCAATTATATTGTTTGGGCCAACGTCTTACCTCATGATTTTTTTTTTTTTCTTCCCTTTATAATGCAATGCAAATTCAAAGACTTAGTTGTCTAAGCTTATCAGTCCTCAAGAACTTCCCTAGAAGCCCTCTTACAGATGACATATGTTAGGACAAAGCAGTGTGTTTTAGGAGATCATGGTAGCTGCAATTATCAGGATTCCCTAGAGAAATTCAACTGTCTGTGGGACATCCTTTCAATGGCAGTTGTCAATCTTAAGTAAGAAAGATGCCTTTTTAAATCTTCTATTAATTTTTCTCTGTCAAAGTTCCTTAGGAATGCATGCTTTAGTGTTGAGGCTAGCATTTTCAAGAGACAACCAAATTGTGTGTGCACACTGAGCTCTGCTGAGGCAAAAATTTCTTCAACATCTTGTGCAAATCTGCATTATAAATGTACATGTGGACAATATAAGCAAAAAAAAATAATTGTTCCCAACTAACATTTTTTTCCTGTGAAAGCAGTAGGCTTACTGGAGATCATACCTTTCCCTTGGGTAGTTACTGAGGTTTTAGTCATGCTGGAGGTAGGGCTTGCTCCAGACTAACATATTGGAGAGCTTTGAGTGAAAGCAGCAATGAGGGGGACTGCAAGAGTAAGAGACATTCACCCTTCTACATCCTTGGTCCAACTGCTTTGTTTCTTGTTTTTCTGGTCTTCATGGAAATTATTGCTATCCATGTAGCTCATTTCATCTCCTTCCAGACAGATCATTTCACGCAAATGTGCTTAGGTCTGAATGTGTTCCTGGATTTTCACCTCCACTGTTTTGGGGATTGTGTCCTTTATGAAAAGTCTGAGGTTTCATTATTTTATACCACATATGAAGTGAATTGGACAAGGAAGCTTCTAAAGTAGGATACACTAAGGTGGTACTCTAATCCTTTTGCTGCTTTGTAGTGAAACACTAAAGTAACAAGAGGGTGAACTTATTTGTTGGATTTATTACTCGATGCCTGATATAATTCATGGTTATGTATTAATACTGCTGGGGTATTTGGGTACATAATCTTAACTTTAGAAAAAAAATAACCAATCAATATTGAAATCTAGCACAGGCAGATCTTTTACGAACTGAAGTTTGTAGAGATTTCAGTGACATACTGATTTTTAAAGTAAAACAGTAATGTATTCTCCAGCTGTATTGTACTGTACAATTCCTACATTCATTAAATTGTTGCTATAGATATATAGGCATTTTTATTCCACATGACCACATAAATTGAGATCCAATTGTATTTTATTATGCAGTCATTCCTGCCTTGTTTGAGTGTATCCTGAAGAATTTATTCTTGACTGACATCTATATTCACATGTAAAAATACATTTCTGTTAAGAAATACATGTGTCATAACTTTACCTAGAGCTAGCAGGCTCTTTGCAGTCTGCAAAGTATATCAGCAGTAAGGCACTATGGAATTTTACTTATGATTATTTCAATCAATAGCAAAAATATATCAAGAAGATTCTCTGTCCTTAATCTCTGGAGTCAAGAAATGACACTTTACCTTGTCCTGCCTGTCAGAGGTGGCAAATGGGGAATGTGTCTCAGTATTTTTGCTCACTTTGGAGTCCAACATGCCTCAGGTAAATATCACATATTTTGCCTGTGGGAAAGCTATATCTTTTTATCGTTTTGCTAGATTCAGAGAAGAAATAATTCTGTAAGATGTCAAAGTGACATTCTGACATGCTCAGCAGAAGGAATAGTATTTTCTTTCCAGTATACTGAAAGTTTTTAGATTTTTTTTTTTTAATAATTTTAAATTTTGTTTCTAAGAGATGGCTTTTTCTGCTGGAGGAGGAGTAACAAAACATAAGCCACTTAAGTAGAAACTAATTTGGGAAAGCTCAACACAATCTTTTGGAGGTGGGTTTTTTTTTTTGTTTTGGTTTTTGGTTTTGTTTTTTTTTTTTCCTTTCCTTAAATAATTGGTGCTCAATAGTTTCTTTCAGAGACTTGGGTATTGCAGATAGATTAGTGCATTCGTTCTCAAACTTGAGAGAGTCATGGGGTATGTCCTGAAAGGGTGAAGGTTATCCAGCCACCATATGGCATGTAAGACTAGAAGGCAATGGATAGGGCATAGATGATCATAGGATCATAGAATAACTTAAGTTGGAAGGGGTCGATAAGGATCACGATGCTAGGATTGGAGCTGCTGGGAGAAAAGGTGCTGGTTAAGGCTGCGCGGAGAGCAAGGGCAGAGAAGCCAATTCCAGGAGAGGCTCTGCCAATGCCTTACTCTCACTGTGATCATTTCCTGTTCCAAGACCGCTGCTGGGAGATGATGGTGTGAGCTCTACTCTTACCTCTTCTCACCATTGGTTCCCAATTCCTGCTCTACCACCTTTTGACCTAGCTCTATCTGTTCTCTCCAGATACTGGATCTACTGAAGTGATTTAGGATACTCTGTCTTGTATCCTTCATTAAACTCTATCTTCTGCTTTTCTGCAGAGGTGTTGGTTTCACTCATACAGCAGAGCACCCTGTGACATAAAAGCTAATGGGAGTTTAAAGCTTCTCCCTTTGGCTGTTGGTGGGCTGGAGCTTTCCTGCTGTCTCCAAAGCTGCAGTATGACCTTAGAAGACAGCCATGTCTTTCCTACCAGATCTGCCTGGAGGTCATCTTATGGCCTGTGGCTATGGTCACCCCTGTTTGACGAGGTCTGTAGCAGAAAGCTAAGGCATTGGCAAGTCTGCATACACCACGATAGCATACCAAGTTAGCTCCGTGTTGCTTTGACACAGTCTGTCCCCAGGTCCCAGCAGTTCACTGGTAATATGACCTTTGAGGGTATGGTTAGTGAATGCGTGTACCTCCTGCCCACTCACTTTGAGAACTCGGACTAGAGATGAAGGGCTGGATTGTATCCTTGGGGAAACAGAACATGCTGTACTAAGAAACTGAGACTGAGTGTCTGTGTTTTAAAAGGGGGGGGGGGGGGAAGGGGCAAGAAGAAAAACAAAAGGCTGCAATCTATATTGGTTCCTGGACCAGAAAGGACAAGGAAGAACAGGAGCAGAGTAGATGAACAACATCAATAAAATGTCTGTTTAAAAATCGTAAGTTCTTGGTTTATTGTCTTTTATGCTTTTTTTGTGTGTGTGTGTTTTGAGTAATGTTTCTAAGGACACTGGTGAACTGGGCTGTTTCTGAGGTTCTTACATGGAAATCTTTTCTGTGATGATAGTATTCTGTGGGTGTATGTATTGGCTTTGTGTGGCAAGGTTTTGGTAGCGGTGGCGGCGTTACAGGGGTGACTTCTGTAAGAAGCTGCTGGAAGCTTCCCCTGTGTTCGAGAGAGCCCATACCAGCCGGCTCTGAGATGGACCCACCGCTGGCCAAAGCCGAGCCAATCGGCGATAGTGGTAGTGCCTCTGTGATAACATACTTAAGAAGGAAAAAAAGTTGGGACAGACCGAAACAGCAACCGGAGAGAGGAGTGAGAACATGTAAGAGAAACAACCCTGCGGACATGAAGGTCAGTGAAGAAGGAGGGGGAGGAGATGCTCCAGGCGCCGGAGCAGAGAGTACCCTGCAGCCTGTGGTGATGCCCATGGTGAGGCATGAGGCAGGCTGTCCCCCTGCAGCCCATGGAGGTCCACAGTGGAGCAGATATCCACCTGCAGCCCGTGGAGGACCCCACGCCGGAGCAGGTGGGTTCCTGAAGGAGGCTGTGACCCTGTGGGAAGCCCACGCTGGAGCAGGCTCCTGGCAGGACCTGCAGATCTGTGGAGAGAGGAGCCCACGGAGCAGGTTTTCTGGCAGGACTTGTGACCCCGTGGGGGACCCACGCTGGAGCAGTGTGCTCCTGAAGGACTGCACGCCATGGAAGGGACCCATGCTGGAGCAGTTCATGAAGAACTGCAGCCCGTGGGAATGACCCACGTTAGAGAAGTTCGTGGAGGACTGTCTCCCGTGGGTGGGACCCCACGCTGGAGCAGGGGAAGAGTGTGATGAGTCCTGCCCCTGAGGAGGATGAAGTGGCAGAAAATAACGTGTGATGAACTGACTGTAAACCCCATCCCCATCCCCCTGTGCCGCTGGGGGGTTGGTAGAGAATCTGGGAGTGAAGTTGTGCCTGGGAAGAAGGGAGGGGTGGAGGGAAGGTGTTCTGAGATTTGGTTTTATTTCTCATTACCCTACTCTGGTTGATTTGTAATAAATTGAGTTAATTTTCCCCAAGCTGAGTCTGGTTTGCCCGTGACAGTAATTGGTGAGTGATCTCTCCTGTCCTTATCTTGACCCACAAAAGCCCTTTGTTATACTTTCTCTCCCCTGTCCAGCTGAGGAGGCAGAGTGATAGAAAGGCTTTGGTGGGCAGCTGGCATCCAGCCAGGGTCAACCCACCACAGTGTAATTGTGTATAGTTTCTCTTAAATGAGACCTCACTATTGAATGCACACCAAGTAACCAGGAATTTCTAAATATAGCTGGTCTGAAGAGAACAAAGAAGTGGTAATATTGCCTACTTTTACAGAAGAAAGTCGCCTTCCAAGTTTTTCCCTAAAACCACTTCAGACTTTCACGTGACTCAAATAATTGACATAATGTTTTCCTATCCTGACAAGCTAAAGAAAGTGAAATTTTAAGAGTCATATTTTCTTTATTTGAAGAGAACAAAAGCAGTTACAGTATCTTGAAGGTTGCATTTCCAGAGGTATCAAAAGGAAAAGCTGTGTTGACTTGGAGATGAATCCACCCTGGAGGTCACTTGGTAATGCTTGTTAGGAAACAGTTAAGTTAGTATACATGGAACAGATTTGTGCTCACTTCACAGTCAATGTCTGCATTTTCTGTTAGAATTGTTTTAATCACTGATACTTGTAAATCAACAACTTGGAGAATAGTTTGCATGTTTACTATACTAAATACTGGTCTTTAACGAGTATCTAGATCTCAAGTAGTATCTAGATCTAAAGATCCACTTCAGATAGTGAACTACTACATATCAGATTATGGCCCATGAGCAGAGAGAGAAGAAAGATGCCCACTTTTGTGGGTGACCAGAATTTCTGTGGTGTGTGCCATCTCTGTATCTTCTGCTGCCTGTGCTTCTTTCTAGCACAGTGTTATCTGATGTTACCTACATTCTGTGCTGATAAAAGACTCAAGCACGGACTATGCTGCTCCATCATTATTGTTCTCTAGAGGGAGAGAGTTATGTGACTGATGTTGATGTTGGTGTACCAAATATTTCGGTTTCAGCTGCGTGCAGTGTATAGCAATACATTTAGGAGAATTCCAGGTCTCTAAAAATAAGTAGCCTCTTCCTCTAATATGAATTCTCTGTATTCCTAAACTATTGGAAAAGTCACCACCTGTTTTAATTCTCCATTATTTTTCTTGAGATAATAATCCCATTAAATAACAATGGTGTGTTTTCACTTTTGTAGGCTTTATGCAGAATTACTCGTTACTCACCTAATGCTTTCCAGAGTGTCATTGAAAAAGTGGGATTAACAGCTGTACTAAATTCCTTGGCAAATGGAATATGCAGAATTCAGCAGTACATGCTCACCATGTTTTTGGCAATGTTGTCATGTGGGATTCATCTACAGAGGCTGATTCAAGAAAAGGTTTGATTTCAGATTAATAGTATTCACTGGCATGGGATTTCACTAATGGAAACTTAGTTGGCTCTGGTAGTGTTTCTGTGTTTTCAAAATGCTTAACTCAGTGACACATATCTGAACAGCAGGAAATGAGGAATGTGTCTATATTAAGATCTAAATATAGTGTATAGTTTTTCTTTCTGTCTCACAGATCTTCAAGAGATGGTACTAACGGGTATATAAATTGCTTCTGCAGCTAGAATTCAATCAATTCAGAAAACTCTTTAGCCTGACCATGACTGATAATGGCCCTAAGGAAAAACAATAAGGAATGCATGAGGACAGTTATTTGACATAGCTCTCTTAGACGTTTAAAAGAGAAAATAATGAGTGTCCTGATTGAATCTAAAGCTGTATTTATGCTCTCTTTAAAGGACCTTAGGCCAATTTGTAAGTGAAATGTCTTGCAGAAATTAGCATTTTAATAACTTACGGTTTTCTTTTTAGTGTCACTGAATAAAACTACTAGTTTTGAATTATGTCTAATACAATTTTTGGAAGAGATGATTAAAAGTTTTCTATTTTGATCACCAAATTATTCCGTGTTTAGAGAAATCATGTTTATTTTTTTGGCAGTAAGTCTGCACAATTCATAAACAAAAGTAATCCTCTGCTTGGAAATGATAAAAATCACAAAGAAAATAGGAACTTTAGCTTGTGTTTTCATCAGATACTCTGTTGTAATGTATGCTGTAAACTGACAGTCATCTTGACTATAACAATCTATTAGGCTTTAGTTGAGAGAGACTAATTTGGTTTCTCTACACATAGTTTTAACAACGTTAAATTAAAAAAGAATCTATTGTTTTCCACCCATCTCTTTTTGCAGCCTGAAATTACTCATTCTCTTCCTAAAAGTCATTTTTGTGCCTTGTCAGAATTGCCAATGTGTTTTTGTAAACGCGTGTCAGCTGGCCTTAAGCTTTCCACAGATTCCACTACAACAGTACTAACAGGTGGCAAATTGTCTGGTAATGTTGCAATTTCTAATAATGCATATTACTGTGAGTTGGTGGTATAGTCAGAGAAGTATGTTCAAAAAATATTCACTTGAACATTCAGCGAAAGAATACAATGTGTAGCAAGCATATGGCTACAGCATGAGGTGTTCTGTGAAGAATTTCTCCTTTATATAGGACTTATATTGCTAAAAGGACTCCCTTTCTGATACTGCAATTCTTATGAACCATTTTAATCAAATTTTTGACATTATAGAAATATTAAACTCTGAAGGTCTCCAACTAGTTATAGGAAAATAAAAAGTATTTTGTTGGCACGCAGTATAGTAATGGCTGAAACATTGTGGGTTTACAATTGCTGCTTAATCATTAATGAGTTGTCATAGGTGTTTTGTGAGCAATGTTGCAATTTTGCAGATTAGAAATTGAAATGTAGACAAATACAGACATTTTTTAACAGCATATATCAAACTAATGATAGAATTGGGAGTAGTACCCAAAGCTGTAACTGAAAAATCATGATACTTTAAAAACTGGTAAAGCGGGTGTAGTTCTACTGCATATGCCCACATTTGGTAATTGTATTTGCCTTACAGCTCAGATAAATCTGTATCTCACAGAATGTCTATTTTGCTCAAATTAGATTGTAGGATTTTGGAAGCAGAAACTAGATTTCTATTTTTCTTGAATAGGATCTAAAAATATAATCCTGCTCCTGAATTGAACTGCCAGGTACTATCACATTACATGGAGTAATAATATTTTATTGCTGAAAACTGAATTTAATAATCCATGCACTTTTCAATATTCCATGAGCATGAGACCCAAGTCTACCTTAATGAGAGAAGGGAAAAGAAAAAACAAGTCGGTAGTGTTGGCTTACAAAGTATTTGCCTTCTGTAGAATTCTTGTACACTATAGATTAAGAGGCAGAAGGACCTCAATGTTATGCAGAAGGTAGTGATGATGTTTTGACTATCTTTTTAATACAGCTGCAGACCAACATATTAGAAGATGCTTAAAGATATAAATTCAAGATGGAGATCATTTAGTTTTGTACATGTTATCTGGAAACTCCTTTAGCTTACAAGACTTAAGGCTGCCCTTGTTTTCTACTCCCTTCAAGAATAGTGATAAAACCAGTTATAAAATAAAAGCCAGAAGACAAAGGGGAAATGCAGTTCTGTGGTCATCTACACTAGTATAAATCTTCAGAGAACTACAATAGCTAAAAGGGTCTGTTTTTTGTCCATCTCTGATACAGAGCCTTTCTATTTTAGTGTCTTGTCTTGGAAACAAAAAAAGCTGAAATGATGTTTTAAAATAAAGTGTGGAGAAAGAATTCAAAGATCTTTGACACACTATAGCAGTAGATAAAAAAAACATTGCTAATTACTTTCATCTGGCTGTCAAGATTCACCTTTAAATGAGTGAAAACCAGTCATATAACTTTTTGAGTGCAGTTAGGTTCTTCCAGAGATAATGGGGTGCGGTGGCTTTTATTTGTTTTTTCTCAAGTGCTAATAAGTAAAATTATTCATGTAGTTACAGCAATACATTGTCACAACTGCATTGTTTCTTCGCTTCCCTGCACCATTGGCCCTAGTCTCTTTTTATCTTGGTGATATCCAATTATGGCACTGAAAAAAAAGCATTATAAATGCGTTATAAACATTGTCCTTGTATTTCAGTTACTTTTTTCAGTTCTTTGTCTTTTACCTGAATGTGGACAAGTAGCTACCTCTGATGTTGATGGTTTTGTCAATATCAGTATGAATTAATAAAAAGATATGAATGTCTTTAACAAAATCTTTGTAACTTTTAACTTATGTGAAGGCATTTGCAATGCATAGAAAGGGAATTTGAAAATACACAACAATACAACAAATGATTGCTATTGCAACTTCAGTTCTTGTATAGTGAGATAGTGGTCTAACTGTTTCCCCCTTGTGTAGCCAATTGGAAACATCATTGCTTTTTGTGATTTGTTTTAAACTTGCTTTACAGTATTACTAAGATTATCCAATGTAAAATCATGATCTTGTTGCAGTCAACAGTGTGTTCACTTGCAATGAAAAGAGTGTCCTTACCCTGCAGAGTCTCCATGGATACATCAAATAGTTGCAGGGGAGGGAAGTACAATATAATGGTGAAACAATTAATAATGTATTAGAAGGTATTTCAGCAATTTTCGGCTCGTCTGTTATATTGAGTTCTGCAGGTCAGCAAAGATGAGCTTCACTTGCTGTTCTGCAGTCCTCAGACCAGCAAGAAAAGCAAATTCCAAAGTGTCACATTTATTTCTTAAGACAGATTATTAGAACATTCCCAGATAAGTCTGATGTAACTGATTTTAATAGACATTATTGTCGTAACCCATGGTAACCCCTACCTGTAGCATTGAAATATTCTTGATTTCCAGAGCATGAAGGCTAAAAATAGCTAGATGTGCTTTGGCTTGCAGTTGCATGTGTCTTTGTCATGGTGTCCCTGTGCTTAGTCTATCAAGTCCATTTATGTTAGCAGGCAGTGTTGCATTATATGTATTCTTTCACTAAGTCTGAGGCTTTATGGGGTTTCTTAACGTCAAAACTTTTTTTGGTGGTTTTGAATAATTTCATAAAAAAAGCCCCAAACCCCACAAACCCCCACTTTATTAAAATTTCAACCTTTGCTTGTAGTAGATTTTAATTTAAAAACTTTATTGCTGGAGGAACTTTCATGCTGGAGGAGCTACAAGTCGAGCGTGTTCCACCAGCTGTTGAAGTGTTTAAAGCAGGAAACTTTACACAGCTTATGCTTATTAACCACAAGATTGAGGAACTCTTCTATTTATGAAATAAGTGGCAGAAATACAGCAAAACAGTTCTAGAATAATTCATGACAGTTTGTTTTTTCTGGGATTTCTGCAGTTACTGTCTATGCTGACTGCTTTTGAAGACAGTGTTAAAATGGTACCAGAGCAAAATCTGGTGGTTTGTTGGCCAATTCTCACACTCTTCTTCTTTTTCCAGTCTCTGTAAAGAGGTATATTTAATTGTTGCAAAGACTGGCTCTAATAAATTACATTCAGTGTTTTTCAGTTTTATGACAATGAAGTTGCTGTTCAGTTATTCTGTTGGCAAAAGACAGAATTTGAATAATACTTGGTATGTTAAATGTGCGTCACACAGCAGGATTTTAAACTTTGTACACAACATGCAGGCATACACTATGCACCTCTTTATCCTGTAGCGTCACTCCCTTGAGAATCCAGCTCAAATGTTTGAAGGTAGTTTCTGTTGATGAGGCCATTTGTGCTCAGACTCATTCTTGGATAGAGCCAATTGATTCAGTTTGTAAATTCTGGCTCAGTTTTTAATTCTGACTTTTTTAGGGTTGGGGTTTTTTTGAGAGAGAGATTTGAAGTGGCATTTGTGTTTTCAGAAGAAGGCATTCTGATCAAGAGCTGATCCAAAAATACCATTGCTGCTGCCAGCAAGGTCATCTTTGAAGATGGATTGGGTTTTTTTTGTTTTTGTTTTTGTTTTTTTTTTACCAAATAGCCCAATTGGTCTTTGTAGAAGAATACAGATGAATAGCAGGTATTTTTATTCCTCGAAGGTAGAGGATACTCCCTATGGTTTTTTGTCTTTTTTTAAAATTCTTTTTCTTTTTTCTCCTTTGGTTCCTCAGGAGTTACAACATATCGTTGGACAGAGCATAAATGATCCTCATCTTATGCTTTTTACAACTCATACTACCTAATTCTGTTATTCATAATATGAGATCTTTTTTTTTCCTTCCACTGATTCTCAGCTTTATTCCTTTGGAGGCTAAGGCAGTACACATGAATTTCACATCTTTCCATGTGTCAGGCCACATTCCAGAAACTAGAGAAAAAAATCCTTTCAATATACAGGGCAAAATAGAGAGAAAGAGAAAAAGAAGCAAGCTGTGATTTCAGAATCCAGTCAGTTAACCATTGTTAAACTTTTGAAGGGAAATATTTTGTGGTTATTCTTCATTTCTCCCTATCCTTGTTAAACTTTTAAAATTATTCTTTCATTTGGATTTATGGGAAGGAGAGAGTTAGCAAGGATCTTAGCATCTTATAAATTGACTTTATCATAGGAATGGAGAATGGTCAGTGGATTAGGAAAGTCATGGCTCCTTACTGCTTGCAGTTTATTGTTTTTCTTTCTTTCCAAGTCCTAATTAGGGTTGTTCCTTGAAAAGGTGTTCTTCATTTTATGAATCCAAAATAAATTTAGTTTAGATAAGAACAATCAGAGAAGGTAGAAACAGTCTTGCCATCTATTTGGAGCATCTGTTGTATAAATTAGGGTCTGATGTAGACATGATTGTATCCAACAAATATATTGTTTTTAATCTTCCTGCATATAAGGGAATTAATAGGTAAATGTTTAATCATATTTATGCTGAAATATTTACGTATTCTGAAAATCATTCAGTCTTCTTTTAAAAGAAATATATTAAAATATCCTATGTTTATCCTTATGGTAAGACATTTTAAAATGTAAGTTCTATCGTATTTTGTATCTCATTTTGTACCATTTTGGACATAGTACATTGGATAGCGTTTACTTGTTGCAGCTCTTGAGAAGATGTATAAAGCAGCTTTGCACTGGGCCAGTCTATCTTGGAGAGAATTTATTTAGTAGTGTTTTATGGAGGGTTGGTTTGTGGGGGTTTTTTTGTATTTGCTATAAGTGACATGAAAAGTACCTTACTAATACCGAATGCGCATGAAAATGAGCAAATTTTAAATGTATACAGTGTTATAATACAATGCAAGTAACCTTTTTCCATAAAATAGTATTAACATATTTGTGTTTAATTCCACCAAGGATTTTGTGACTACAATTACTCGTTTACTTGAAAGTCCTTCAACTTTTATTCGAGCAAAAGCCTTTCTGGTCCTGCTACAAGTTTTAATTAATAACAGGGAGATGTTGCTACTCAGTTGTCAAGCAAGGTAAGGTGATAATGGCAAATAATTAGAGATGTAATGTATATTTTCAAAGCCGTACCTGAAATACTTTAAAATGTGTGGTGTTTCTGAGCCAGTGTTATAGGAGTGAACTATTTTCTGTGTAATAGGAATCCTTTTGTTCATGAGAATATCAAGAAAAGAGTATTCTCTTTTGTCTAGGGTCATTAGGTGATGATTACACACAAGGGGAAACACCGTCTTACAGGGAGAGTCTGTCTTTTAAAGCAACTTATAGTCCCAGTGAGCATTAGGAAGCAGCAGATTTTGCTTTGGGTAGGGCAAAACAAATACTGCAAGAGTGAGTTGTTGCTCTGGTAGGAAAGCAAAATAAGAAGGTCTGTCACATGCCTTCATCGTCTTGGGGTGTGGTATAATCCATAGTCTTTTCAGGGTAGGCACGTGCAAGGTAAAACAGTATTTCTTGGCTATACATGTTGTTGGAGTGATTTATATAATGACCACTGAATTCCTGTGACTTTTACCTGAAATATTTTGTTTCTATGTTTTAAAATACCTTGCAAGAAATGACTGCTTTAAAATTATATTTGTCTCACAGTGGAATAGTTATTTTAATTTTTGTCTTCTGATGGCATAAAACCATTCCCATATCAGACAAGAGGAAATTAGATTCTGTTAGAATGTAAATTGTCACCATGTTTTGGGGGTGATTGGAGAAGTAATATGGAAGAATTTATGTGGGATTTAGGATGAGGCTTGTGGGTAGCTGTAAATCTAACTACATTTACAGCAAGTAAAACTTTAGATCTTATATTGACGTTTGAGAAGAATTAAGCATTGGAGCTGAAGGCTGGATTGGAAGGAGCAGGTGAGTTACAACATGAAGCCATTGTGACAGGACATCTTGTGGGGTGCTATCATTATATAACCCTCCACTCACATACAAATCTGTAGATACCCCAATTTTTGTAGGTCATAGAGAGTAAGTACCAAAGCCAAGTTTCTTCTTCATGTGTATCTTTCTATACTTCCAGAAATGTTTTATCAGGTGATGTGTTCTGGTTACTGTAAAATGTCTCTAATGATTTGTAAGTGACTTTTTGAATGGTTACATTTTTAATGGCTGCTGCTATTCATATGCTTGTTATAGCACATAGGACTGAGCTGTGTGTTTGGAGAGATGTCTGACAGAAGTCCTGTACTGACAGTTACTATTTATTTATTTATACCTGCCATGGTTTAAGCCCAGCCGGCAACAAAGCACCACGAGGCCACTCACTCAGAAAATATTAAAAGTTCGTGGGTTGAGACAAGGACAGGGAGGGATCACTCGCCAGTTATGGTCACGGGCAAAAAACAGACTTGACTTGGGGGAAAAAAAACCCAAATAAATTTAATTTGTTACCAATAAAATCAGGATACTGAGAAGTAAAACAAAACCTTAGAACACCTTCCCCCCACCCCTCCCTCCTTCCTGACTTAACTCTACTCCCGATTTTCTCCATCTCATCACCCCCAGCAGTGCAGGGGGACAGGGAAAGGGGGTTGGGGACAGTTCGCCACACCTTGTCTCTGCTGCTCCTTCCTCCTCAGGGGGAGGACTCCTCACTCGTCCCCTGCTCCAGCGTGGGGTCCCTCCTATGGAAGACAGTCCTCCATGAACTTCCCTAGCGTGGGGTCCCTCCCACAGGCTGCAGTCCTTCATGAACTGCTCCAGCATGGGTCCTTTCACCTCCTCCAGCGCCCCTTCTCCCCCTCCTTCTTCACTGACCTTGCTGTCTGCTCAGGGGTTTCTCTCACATTCCCAGCTCCTCCCCTGCTACAGGTTTCTCCTCTTAAATCTGTTCTCCCAGAGGTGCTGATGGGCTCGGCCTTGGCCAGCGGGGGGTCTGACTTGGAGCCGGGGAAGCTTCTAGCAGCTTCTCACAGGAGCCACCCCTGCAGCCCCTCCCCCACTACCAAAACCCTGCCACACAAACCGGAAACACTGCCTGAGGTATTTTGTGAAGGAGAAGAACTTTAACAATTTTGATCAACAATTTGATCTCTTTTTTTATAATGCTTTCCAATGAGCAGCCTTTCTGAAGAGAACGTGTTGTGAATTTGGTACGTTATTTTGTATTGTAAATTTTGGCTTTATGCTGCTGTTTTATTGTGATGCTCCAGAGCGAGCTGATTAGGGACCAATAGGTAATATAACACATTAGGTAAAACAATAGGCAAGCTTATAGCAACTTTATTGAATTGATAAACCTTTTTTTTTTAAATTAGTTATGTTTACTTCATAATTGTTCTTCAGTGAACAGTGTGTCTTTTGACAGGATAGAACATGTAGACTAAAACCTTTCTCTTACATCCAGAAAGTAAAATGGCTACAGTAGGATGAAGGAGGAGAAATGACCCATTATATGTGGAGACAGCTACTTTCATAATATCCTGAACTCTGGAAGAATTTTGAGTCCAGTAGAGATAGTGGATATTCTTAGGCTTATACTGTTGAATTTCTGTTGGAGTATTTTAGTTAAATGTCTCCAGTTCTGTGACAGAAAACTTACTTCAAAATTAAGACTCATAAATTCAAAATTGCTAGTACAGTAAGCAGTAATCAATTGGCTAACTATTGAAAATGTTTGATATACTCATTCTCCTTATGAAGGTGTTTGATTTGAGAAATACAAAGAGTATGTAGTAAAATGTGCATAGTTTTTACTTATTGTCTTTAGCAGTTGCAGCTAATGCCTGTAACAGGATTTATATTGCTTTAGATTATAAAATCTGTATATGATAAAGATAATCAATACAAGGCAATTTTTCAGTATGCATCCGTTAAAGGATACGATGCAGATAATAAAACAGTAATAATTGTTTCATGGCAGCACTGCATATATCTCTACTGCTTCAGGTTAAATCTTGTTCAGTTTGGCATTAGAAAAGGCTTTTGTTTAGTTTTAGTTTAGTAATCGAAATTATACATACCTTCGCAGAGATTTTGTTTTTTAAACCAAATTCTCTGAATCTGTTATAGCATATTTTTAAATTATGAAATTAGTTGTGGTGGGAGTGTGTAATTCAAGAACTTGACAATGGATGTCACTGGGGAAATTCCACTAGGAATTTCTGAAGTACTTTGAGATTTTGAGTTCTGTGGATGAAAAGCATTTATATGTAATATCAAATGTAATTTTGAAGTGAATTTTTTCTCACACAACATTGATACAACTCACCTGTTATTCTTTTTTCTACCTGTCTCATGGTAGTCCATTCCATACCTTTTGTTCTTCCACATATGATACAGCTAGAGAAGATGTGAGACCTTTTAGGCCGAAATAGCACTTGTTTGCTTACAATATGCAAATTAATTTGTTTTGCTAATCACCCTGAGTTTTCTGGTCTCCTTGTTTTCTCCATGATTTGCAGAGGCAGGCTACCTGTTAATGAGTGGAGGTATACAACCTGAAGTTTTGTTGAGACTTATAATTTCACCCTTTTCTGAACTAGTAGTAATTTCCGATTAGTCTCAGTGAATTGTTCTTTCTGGATCTAAATGGTTTCAGGGAATTTCCTAGGTGAATAGAGACTGCCCTGGAGATTGAACTTCCTCCCTAAAGAATTTATTTAAAACTCTTTTCTACTGTCTGCACGGATGGACACTTATAGAAAGACAAGGTAGTATTCCTGACAGACTTTCACAGTCTGCAAAAGTCTAACTATGCACAAAAGCATAACTTCTGAGTAAAATCTTTCTCTGTTATCTGTCTCCACCTGCCATATTGTATATGCCCTCAAAGGAAAAGCTTTACCTGCAGACCTATTACAATCTCACATTTAGCATAGCCTGTTGGCCTTACACACCTAAGATTGGACTAGAAAAATAGTGAGAAAAAGAACAGGAAAGTTTGGTGCTCAGTTAAATGGGAAAACATGGAAATGGAAGGCAGGAGGGAACAATAACACAAGTCAGTGATTTCAGGAAAAAAAAACCAGCAAGCCTGTATGAAACTAAAAAAAAAAAAAAAAAGGCGCAGAATGGGAGAAATAGGGATTCACCCTTCTTGTTAGCATGTTCTGCCATCCAGTGTTGAATCTCTGTAAAATAAACAATATATATTAAACATCCTTTAAAAATCTTCATCTTTTTCTGTTACCAGAGGTTGACTTAAAACAGTCCTTGAATTGTTGGGTTAAATGCACTGTATATGTCCTCAGAGCATGCAAGACATTCTTTAGTTCCTTGGAGGTCTCTCATTCTCTGTGAACTTAGTGAACTGAAAGGAGAAGACTGCTAGTGAGAGACATCCTGGTTTTAGTCTCAGTCATCTGGCAGCTGCATGCATTTTTCCCCTTGTTGAAACGCTGGTAAAGTTGTAGCTGAACCTTACTGATATCTAAAGCTGATTTTAAGTATGTTGAGGGTAAATGTTACTGGTAGAAGGGAATGAATGAATTTTAGAAAACAGTTTTTAAAGAGGCCTTGAGAGGTTGCAGAGTCTACCCTTCTGATCCAGGTCAAGGTCTGTTATGCTTAAGAAATAATTTTTAATGATTGGTGGAAATTGGTGGGTGTTCCTGACCTCTTTTTGACAGCTGTTCTAATTGTTAGCTATTCCTACCACCCAAAAATTCTTTTGTTTTCTCATTGAAATTTCAATTCTACAGGTTAGCACAGAAAACAATGTAGTCTCTTTCATTTTACAGTGATTTCTGTATATTTGAAGACCATGTCCTACCATGTCTCTGCTCAATTTTCTGAATTTGACTAAATCTTCTCTTTTTTCATGTATATCATCTTTATAAATGAACAGTTCTTATTCTTTTTAAGTAGTAGATCTCATTCCCATTCCTACTACTCAGGGCTGTTAACTCTCTGCAAATTCTCCCTTTTTTGCTCTACTATTCACATCTTTTCTGAGAAAACTTGGGTTGGTTTTTTTGTGTAAAAGCTCACTGATGGCCATATCATGCAATACAGGTACTTGAAGAAATTTTAAAAAAATCAAACCTGGCTTCATTGACAGCAGTTTATTCCTCATTGTATTTAACTTACTTATAGTAACACATACATATTTTTCATGTATTGTTGAGTGCAAGACAAACATGTGCATCATATGAATTGAATAAATGTGTTTCCATAGGCCTAGTTTTGCCCATTAGAGAGAAGACTGAGATTCTTCAGGGAATAAAAGTAACTGATGAATTGTTCTACATATGACTGAGGAATTTGTCAAAAGAAAATAGAGATACTAATGCTTTCCTGCCTATATATGGATGTGTACAATTTTCTCAAGACAATGTTTAGCTGAACAGTACTATTGGGGGAAAAAACAGTTGTGCATATTTTTAGAAAATCTTTATGTGAAAGACAATTTCAGAAGAATTCTGTCAAGGAGCTTCTGGACAAACTCAAACAAAAAGGAAGCCTACAGAGGGTGGAAGCAAGGACAGTAGCCTGGGAGGAATACAGAGAAATTGCCGATCAGGTTAGGAAAGCTAAAGCCCTGATAGAATTAAATCTGGCCAGGGCCATCAAGGGCAACCAGAAAAGCTTCTACAGGTATGTCGGTGATAAAGGGAAGACTAGGGAAAATGTGGGTCCTCTCTGGAAGGAAACGGGAGACCTGGTTACCCGGTGTGTGGAGAAGGCTGAGGTACTCAATGACTTTTGCCTCAGTCTTCCCCGGCAAGTGCTCCAGCCATGCCGCCCAAATTGCAGAAGGTAAAGGCAGGGATTAAAAGAATGAGGAACTGCCCACTGTAGGAGAAGATCAGGCTCGAGACTAAGGAACCTGAAGTTGCACAAGTCCATGGGATCTGATGAGATGCATCTGTGGGTCCTGAGGGAACTGGCGAATGAAGTGGCTAGCCACTATACATCATATTTGAGAAGTTGTGGCATTCTGGGGAAGTTCCCACTGACTGGAAAAAGGGAAACATAGCCCCTATTTTTGAAAAGGGAAAAAAGGAAAACCCAGGGAACTACAGGCCAGTCAGTCTCCCCTCTGTGCCTGGCAAGATCATGGAGCAGATCCTCCTGGAAACTATGCTAGCACATGGAAAATAAGGAGGTGATTGGTGACAGCCAACATGGCTTCACTAAGGGCAAATCATGCCTGACAAATTTAGTGGCCTTCTACAACAGTGTTACAGCTTTGGTAGGTAAGGTAAGAGCAAATGATGTCATCTACCTGGACTTGTGCAAAGTGTTTGATACTGTCCCGCACAACATCCTTGTCTCTAAATTGGAGAGACATGGATTTGATGGATGGACCACTTGGTGGATGAGGAATTGGCTGGATGGTTGCACTCAAAGAGTTGCAGTCAATGGCTCGATGTCTTGAGTGGAGAGCAGTGGTGACTGGCATTCCTCAGAGGTCAGTATTGGGACCAGCACTGTTTAACATCTTTGTTGGTGACATGGACAGTGGGATTGAGTGCACCCTCAGCAAATTTTCTGACGACACCAAGCTGTGTGGTGCAGTTGACATGCTGGAGGGAGGAAGGGATGCCATCCAGAGGGACCTTGAAAGGCATGAGAGGGGGGCCTGTGCAAACCTCATGAAGTTCAACAAGGCCAAGTGCAAGGTCTTGCATATGGGTCAGGGGAACCCCAAGCACAAATACAGGCTGGGCAATGAGTGGATTGAGAGCAGCCCTGTGGAGAAGGACTTGGGGATGTTGGTTGACAAGAAGCATAACATGACCTGGCAATGTGCGCTCCCAGCCCAGAAAGCCAACTGTATCCTGGGCTGCATCGAAAGAAGTGTGACCAGCAGGTCAAGGGAGGCGATTCTCCCCCTCTACTCCACCACTGTGAGACCCCAGCTGGAGTAATGTGTTCAGCTCTGGGGCCCCCAACATAAGAAGGACGTGGACCTGTTGGAGCGACTCCGGAGGAGGCCCATGAAGATGATCAGATGGCTGGAGCACCTCTGTTGTGAAGACAGGCTGAGAGAGTTGGGGTTGTTGAGCCTGGAGAAGAGAAGGCTCTGGGGACACCTTATAGCAACCTTCCAGTACTGAAAGGGGACCTACAAGAAAGCTGGAGAGGGACTTTTTACAAGGACATGTAGTGATAGGGCAAGGGGTAATGGCTTTAAACTCAAAGAGGGTAGATTTAGAAGCTCTTCACTGTGATGGTGGTGAGGCACTGGAACAGGTTGCCCAGAGAGGTTGTAGATGCCCCATCCCTGGAAGTGTTCAAGGCCAGGTTGGATGGGTCTTTGAGCAACCTGGTCTAGTGGAAGGTGTCCCTGCCCATCGCAGGGGGGTTGGAACAAGATGATCTTTAAGGTCCCTTCCAACCCAAACCATTCTACGATGATTTTGTGATGGGAAGGACAACACAAAAAGAGAGAACTCATGAGTTTATGTAAACTTTGTACTTTCCTCTCTCAGAATAAATGAACATACTTTGTATGCTTCTCAAAAGTGATTAACAAATAGAACATGCTTTTAAAAAATGAACCCCTTTCCCCCCAGCAACAAAACCACTCATGTTGAAGTCTATTAAGCCTATTTTAAGTAAAACTTAAACAGATCTAAACATATTTCCATATAGAATCAGATGATTGTTAAATCACGGAAGTGTCTGCATGGGTTTTTTTGGTTTGTTTTTTTTTTTTTTTTTAAGAAAAATCTGATCTTTTGTCATTTTTGTTCGAAGTTAAACAGTTTTTGAGTAAAAATTACTTGGTTGTCTGGAAAGGCTAGAGGGCTTTACACCATTTTAATTTAAAACATTCAATTTTTGTATATTAAAAAACCTTAAAGCTTTTTTTTAAAGGAAAATTCTATTTGAAGTGTAATGTCAGATTTTTAAGTAGTTATATTCTACCAGACAAATCAAAATTCCTTGTAACTTAATACAGTTTCCAGAGAATGCAAGAAAAATAAAAGATGTCCCCACAGTCTCTGGGAAGTGCAGCTGAATGTGTTGCATCCAGGCTATTGCAGAGGTGAAAGGTAGTTACTGAATGGGTCTTTTGATTTATCTCTATCTTTGTAGCACAGTTCAGCAAGGAGAAGGTGAGTTGCAGTATTCCATAGCAATCATGCATTGTTTAGAGACGTAATCCTGTAAAATACATTCTTAGGTAGTGTCCTGGTTTCAGCTGGGATAGAGTAAACTGTCTTCCTAGTAGCTGATACGGCGCTATGTTTTGAGTTCAGTATGTGAAGAATGTTGATAACACTGATGTTTTTAGTTGTTGCTAAGTAGTGTTTAGACTAAGTCAAAGATTTTTCAGCTTCTCATGCCCAGCCAGCAAGAAAGCTGGAGGGGCACAAGAAGTTGGCACAGGACAGAGCCAGGGCAGCTGACCCAAACTGGCCAACAGTGTATTCCATACCGTCTGACGTCCCATCTAGTATAGGAACGGGGAAGTGGGGGCGGGGGATCGCTGCTCGGGGACTAGCTGGGTGTCGATTGGCGGGTGGTGAGCAATTGCACTGTGCATCATTTGTACATTCCAATCCTTTTATTATTGCTGTTGTCATTTTATTAGTGTTATCATCATCATTATTAGTTTCTTCTTTTCTGTTCTATTAAACCGTTCTTATCTCAACCCGTGAGTTTTACTTCTTTTCCCGATTTTCTACCCCATCCCACTGGATGGGGGGGCAGTGAGTGAGCGGCTGTGTGGTGCTTAGTTGCTGGCTGGGGTTAAACCACAACAGATAGTTTTTATTTCATTGAATAAATTGGCTTTTGATGGAAATACACACGTCCTAGGATAAAATTTTGTGTTGGTGAGTCCTGCAGTTTTGTTATGTACACCTAAGGCAGTTTAAATAAGTTATTTTCATACTTCTATAAAACAGCATTGATTATAAGAAGGGTATTTAAAAAAAAAATTAGTACTGAAGTACATTTTTAAAATCCAGAGCATGGATTTCAGTCACCAGTGGCCGATGAGTCTTTGCACAGGACCCCCAGGGATTTTGAATGTGAAACAAAGATGTCAATATTATGTCCCTAAAGGGAAGTCTGGCCCTTCTGTCTATTCAAATGAGCATTTAAAAATGCTGCCTGAAGCATTTTGCTACAGGTGTATTACTAAAGCAATCTCTTGTAAGTTAGCCAATGGCTAATAAATTAGTTACCATAGTTTACTATGAGAAATGTCATTCTGCAGAACAGCATAGCTGTGCAGCACTTACCAGTTAGACTGTAAGCATTGAGTTTGTCTTCAGAAATTTTAAGCACCAGATTTCTAGGGAAAGTATGTAAGGCTAGTTTGGACTTCTGTCTCTTTCAATATGGCTATTCTAACTAGTGCTAACATTTTGATAGGCTGTAGTATGATTTTTCTTGACTGAAAGATTGATCTCTTGTTACATTGACTTAAATTAGTCTTGCTTTTGCAATCTTGAAAATGAATGTCTTTAGTCTTTTGCTCATATTGTGTATATTGGTCATATTTTTCAAAGTAAAGTGGATTTTAAAATTAGTCTAAGTCTGCAGAGGGATTTAGTCCTTATGTTAGCATCATATATTAATTTAAACTAGTAGAGTTGTGCTTACTTACAGTAGCTTAAGGGGTTTTTTCCTCTTGTTCCTTGACTCGGTCTTTTGTGTTATTTTTAAAATTTACTTATTTGAAAGGGAAAGTCTAAAATTTCAAAAAAATTACAGAGCCAAAACTAATGTATTGTCTTGATTGTAACCACAGATACTAGAAATGTCTGGTTCACTAGTATTTTTGAGATACAGTGTAATTTTTTTGTTATGAGAGGTAACGTTTTGCACTTGCTTAAATGTAGACTCGTGATGTATATTGAAAGAGACAGCAGAAAGACTATGCCAGGAAAAGAGCAGCAAGGCGGCAGTGAATATCTGTCAAAATGCCTGGATCTTCTCATCTATCACATTGTGCAGGAGCTGCCAGGAATTCTAGGTAAATTCAGTTGGTTAACTGAACAAATCTTACCTTTGCTGACTCCCTCGAGAAACAAGTATCTCCTTGCATATACAGGTGGAAAGACTGTTTTGTCTGATTACATAAGGTTTGCATGGTACCAGCTTCATTAAGTTTTTTAGTTATGTCATGATCAGATATTTTGTATTGGAATGCATGATTTCCTATATTCATGTTTTGTATTTGTTGAATGGTAAGCCCCATCAACTCAGTCAGGAAGAGGCCCAAATGTACAAGAAGTTTTATTAATGTTCTAAACATTGAAAACATTGAAAAACCTGAGAGCAAATTTGCCTCATAAAGCACAGAGCTAGGAGAGATGCAACAGGGCATATCTGTGAGTATGTGTTAATCACTTATTCAACATATAAGTTTCAGTGTATTTGCTTCAGGCATTTTTTCAGGCAAATTTCAGCCTAGATACTTTGGTTATTCTAGATGCCTGAAATTGATTTGCTTATGCATGAGAAAAGATGGAAAGATTCTGTCTGAGAGAATATCAGTGCTACCTCAGCCCATCCCTTATACTTCAGAATAAGGACTTGAAGTTTCAGCAAACTAGGTTTTGTGCCAAGGGGATGCATTTGGACAATTTTGTGAATATCTGCTTAAATTTCACTAGTACTTGAGCCTTTGGAATGACAAAAAGCTACTTTGAACTTTGTGCTGTTCACACATGTTCTAACAGAAATTTGCCTGTCATCATTGAATATGCTGAAACTTGTCATAGTGGGATGAGGTACAGGGGAAGAGGGGACTTGCAGAAGGAACTGTGGAAAGCATGCATGCAGATAGGACAAAACTTGCAAATTGCAGGGCATAATTTGGACTCATTGGGCAACCAAAGAAGAAACTGGAGTAGAAAGAAATTAGTTTGAGAGTCTGGGGAGTCAGTCAAGAGAGGGTGATGAAACAGGATGAGAATTTTGGCCATTTGTACAAAAGTAATAGATAAGATCTTTAAAATTAAGGAGGATCTGTTGGTGAGATTTGAACATAAGGTTGATATTGAATATAAGAAATGTCACAGAAATTACCCTACATGAGTAAGAACAGTGGGGTTGTCTTTCCTGGAGAAGGCTGTGTTATATGTTATATGAGGCAAGATGAAGTTTTTACTTGAAAAAGTTAATTTGGAGTGAGTGAAGGAAGAAAGGAAGGAAGGGAAGGAAGGGAGTTAGGGAGGAAAGGGAAGAAGGAGGAGGGCAGAGAAAGGAAGGGAAGAGAGGGTAGGAAGGAAAGAGGAGGGGAGAGGAGAAGGGAAGGAATGGAGTGGGGGGAAGAGTGGAGAGGGAGAAGGGATGGAGAAAGAAAGGGGGAGGGAGAAGGATGGAGGGAAGGAAAGAGGGAGAAGGGAGGAGGAAGATGACAAGAAGGAAGGAAGGAGAAAGTATGAGATTGGTGTGGCCAGTCTGAATCATCATTAAAATTCTTATTAAAGTTTCTGGTGGGTGAGATCTCCCACAGAATAGAGTAAGAAAGCTGAATAGGAAGACAAGGAAGGAGATGCTGTGAGTATTCAAGAAAAGAAAGGGAGCAAAACCAACCCAGATTGTGTATGCTTTGTTATTAAATGATAAAACATTTTTTTCATAAAATTATTTTCTGACGAGATGATACCTGATTTATTTTTCATCTGCTCTACATTATCACTAGAATATTGAAAATGAAATGGTAGCACTGCAAAGGTCAGTAGATGTAAATGTCATGCTGCTATTTTAAAAGAAACTTTGCTTCCTATGACAATGCAAATTTTTGCCTTGCTGCAAATACCTGATTCCTTTTTTCTAACTAAATATCAGGTTTGCATATTGGCTATATTTCAGGATTTGGAAGTCTCAGACGATAAAGGTTTGAGGCAGAAATTCACCTCCTACTGTCTGTATGTACTATATGCAGCTAATACATTAGGCCCTGATATTTGCTCAGAACCTGCAAGTACTATACATCAAACATATACTTGCTGTCATTATAATATATAATATATCAATTGCTTTAACATGTATTCTGCTGGGATTTTTTACTACTGATGTACAATTTCAATGCATTGTAGACAACTGATATATCAAGCATAATTTTTACACTTTTTCCCTCCCAAGCTAGATTTGCGTGTTGATTGTTTTTATTAAGATTAAGCTCTCCGTCCATATTTGTCAGAAGGCTTTTTCTTTTTATTGCTGTGAGTATTACGAAGGAACATGTTCTGCCTGAGGAGGTAAAAGCTATGGGCTCCTAAGAAAAATAACCAGATTTGCAAACTGGAACAGTTAAAAGCAGTTTAGCTGTTGATTTAGAATTAATCCTAGCTAGCTTTTTTAATGTGTGTTTATGTAAGCTCCTTACCAATCCCATCTTCTTCCACCAGATGTAGCTATAAACCAAATAGCTTAACAAGTTTTAGAAATTGGCCTTAAAGATACACTTAAATGAAATACATTGTTAATCTTGTGGATAATTTTAAAAGTTTTCAGCTGTTGTAGGTAAGAAAGTAATTTTATTTCTGCATTTATAATATTTAACCTATTTCTAGGAAGTAGATATAAATTGCTTATATCATGCTAAAAATTAAAGTAACCATATTTATCTATTTATCAACTGCAAAATTGGCAAATGTGGTGATTATATAGGCCTTAAAACATAGAAAGAGAGTAGATTGCTCAGTAACTTCTTTGTTGCTAACCACAGAGAGGTCTTGTTGAATTGTAGTATTGCGAGTAATTCAAAACAAAAATGTGTTGATGAAAAAACAGTATTTTTGTTTATGTATTTGGAGAGTTTTAGGCAATGCTTTCTTTTTCTATGGTAGTATATTATAGAATGAGTCAAATCTTTAAGGCTAGGTATTTTTACAGCTTACTTTAGTGCCAGGCTCTGTCATTTCTGCTTATGTTGAAAATTGAACTCCATGGGAGCAGAAGAAAAGCATTGGTATTATTCAACATGAATAAACTCTGTGACTTGCTCTGAAAAGAAGGGCCTTTTCTGGCATGAAAATCATATAAAATACTGAATCCCATCCTTTATTTGTTCAATGTCTATGTGATTTCCCTTTTACAGTTTTGTACAGATCTCTCATTAGGGAAAAAAATATACTAAGTGGTCTTTCAAGACAGGATTTGGCTTTTAATATTTTCCAGCTATAGGGACAGAATTTTCCTTCTTTGCATACAGGCCGTGACTTTTCTCCTGCTGCTTCTGTTCTTTATCCCATGCAGAAGAGGTCTTATTTTTCTGAGGCAATAGTTAATGTAACACAAATTTAGCTTAATGTTCCCTGACTTGTACATGTCTCTTGTGAATTTTGAAGTATAATTTTCACTATTGCAATTCAAGTTTTGTTCCCTCGTTATTGTGCCTGAAGTTTGTTATGGAGGCAACTAAGTTCTCTCATTGACCTACTGCTACCTTTTTTTTTTATGAGAATAGGAGAATTCCAGTTGCTTTAGGTCACTGACGTCATTGTTAAACTTGTGTATATGCTTAGCTGGTGGGGAGATGTTTTGGAAGGATGTGGGGAGGGTGTTTGTTTCTTTCTTCCAGTGGTACTATGCTGCAGGAAAAACATAGTGCTTGAGCATTATGTCACCCACTAATCATGGTGAACTCAGCTCTTGGTCAGCTGAAAGTCATGAGAATTTGCTTTTTATTTCACTGGAAATAGAACTGCATCCACAGAATTTCAAGAGTATAATTCCATGCATATGTAGTCACCTAAAGCCAGTGTAAGTCCACCCTGCCAAGAGGGGTAATTTAATCTTTGCTTCTACACCTGCCTTATATTTCTATCCTCACCGTTTTGCCACATTTGCACACCTATCCCTGTAGCCAGAGCAGGAAATAGGCCTGGCTGAACACTGAGCTAGGAAAGAAAAGTGCTAGATCAGCCTGATTTATCATGCAGTTACATGAATGCTACTTTTAGCAGGAGGAAGAAGATGGGATTGAACAGAGGATACTGGAACAAAGATGTTTTATATGTCATTTGCTGCTGTTTAGTGAAGCAATTATGTTAGATCAATCTGAAATGTTGTTTTGCTGTAGGTGACATTCTCACTGCCCTAACTAGTGTCTCTGGACGTAAACACCCATCAACAGTTCAGGCCAAACAGCTGAAGATGTGCCTTCCTATGATGCCTGTAGTGCTTCATCTTGTGACATCCCAGGTAGATTCCCGTGTCCCCCTTGCCCCCCCAATTGTTAAACAAAGGACAAATTCCTGCAGTTTCCCAAAATCTAATTTCTGCTGATCGTGATCAGAATGGATAAAATAGAACTCTTATTAATGTGTAGAGATGTTGATGAGTATTCCAGCTGTGTAACAGCATTAAAGATATAAGCCTTATTTTTGCACATTGTAAGACAACTCTAATGATAGAAGCAAATACATGTTTTGTCCTCTTTTTTTAACATGGCTGTGAAATACATGTTTTACTTTTTCTGGTCATAAGATATGCATTTAATGTAATTTTTTCAACTTTTGCTAAATTTAAATAGGTATTTCGTCCCCAGATAGTCACAGAGGAGTTTCTTTTCAACTATGGGACCTTACTTGTGAGTACAACCATCTGAGTTAAATCTTGTTTACGAAATACACATATGCATAAAATTTGGAGGATTATTTTAATGTAATAAAATTGCATTAAATTTATAAATGGGAGAGAGAACTTTATTATGAATATAAAATTTAAGCTTTGATTATATTCCAAACTTTATATATATCAGAAAATATTTTCTGTAATAATCTATTGGGTCAAAGGGAAAATATGCTATCCTGTGTTCAATTATAAAGAAACTCTGCACATGCCTGATAAACTGAGAATTTCCTGCGTGCTTTATTTTAGACTAGAAAAGTTTAGCTTTAAATTACGCAGAATATTCTTTCTAGAATTTTATGCTAGTATTTTCTGAGTACAAATGAAAGATAGATTATAATTTAATGTATATTTAAAGTATTCTTTCCTTTTGTCACCTTTTTCTTCTTGCTAGTACTTTTACACTATATTTAGTTGATGAAAAGCTGAGTACTGTAAGCTACAGAGCCAAGATATTTCTCGTTAACATCTACAACCTATTTACGACATTAGCAATAGAAAATGAACTTTTTAACTGTGCCATAGGATAGTATAGCAAAAATGAAGTAGTACTGTTGTAACGTGATTTCCTCATATGAAAACAGTTGTTTCTGCTAAATGAGAAAAAAGTGTATTCTAAAGTTGCGTATCAGAGTTAAGCGAATACTTTTAAGTGCATGAGTTCATAAATGACAACTAGGTATTTACTTCCACAATAGCATGAAGAAATGCTTCACCGCAAAGAGCTAGATTAAAGTTTACTGTTCAGATTCACTTCTCTTTCTCCTTTGACTCTTGATTCCAAGAAAATGTGGGTCTAATTTAGCTTTACTAAAATATATGTACAAAAATTAACATTAGGATGAAGAAAAAAAATTCTAGAACTGTAGATGTTGAATTACAAAGCCTTTATCTCTTTGAAGCATTTGTAAATAGGCAGTAGATTTACTAATGGTTTCGGATCAACCTTCTAGAAGGTGAAATTCTTCTGTCAACAATATTACAGCAGACCAGGTACAATGTAAGTTTTCTTTTGATGTTACTCCAGCTTGCTTGAACTACTGAGTGAGGAATTCAGGCTAGTTACACTAGCACAGCTTTCCTCTCAGATCAAGGAGAACATTACTTTACTGAATATTTCCTGCATCTTGTGCTTCTGTCTCCATCAAACAGGGCAATTCAGGAACTTACACATACTATTTCAATTTATGCATGAAAAAGGGAGGGGAAGTAGTATATCTGGAAGATAAATATCAAATTTGTATCCATTTTATATAACTGTGTTATGATATGACTAATATAATTATTTCTGGAAGAGTAACTATCCATTCTACCAGGCAACAGCCTACTCTGGAATTTTGTGTTTAGCAGCATTCCCATCGACATCCATAAAGGGACATTTGATCATCAGCTTGTACTTTTTCAAAGTACTGTGCTATAATTGAGGCCTCTAAGATTTTAGCAAGTCAGTCTTTCAATTTTTTTGTGTTTTTTTTTTCTTTCTTTCCTGATTTATTCAAAAATTTTACTCTTAATAAGAAATGATTAGGAGTGGAAAGATGTGTGCTTGGTATCTGGAAGGAAAAGAGTAGTTATTTTCCTGTAACTGTTGTTCATTGAGAATTTTTTTCCTTGCTGCTTTGAAGTTGTTTCCATCATCACTGTAATTTTCAGTATCGTTGTGCAAAGAAATTGAGAGGGAGTTGGGACAGTCCTTTCATGTTTTCAGCCATGAATAGAAATACATGGAGGACATGCTCTGCCCCAAAGGCACAGGCAATAGTAGGCTCCTAGTGGAGTGCATAGGGCACAGACTCATCTGTAGTGGAATACACACCCCGTTCCTTTCCATTGCTTAAAAAAACCAAGATAGTTGGGTTTTTGTATAATTACATCTACTGCTTGTGTTTCTAATGTAAAATTAAGGAAATAAGCATTAGTAGCCAAAATGATTTGTGCACCAGCTATATTGATTTTTCTTGAGAGTATGGTTAGGTGTGAAACTGTCTTAAATGAGCAAACAGAATAACTTGCTCTCTTCCAAACCAAGTTAATTAGATAATAACTTGTAATTTTCTTCAAATGATCAGGAAAATAAAAGTTTTTTTATAGAAGCAGTTGTTTTTTATGACTGCCTCTGAGATGCATTTAAATGATGAAATATATAATTAGTTTCTAACTGTATTTTTAATTAGAGAAGAATCCTTCAGATGTTTCTTACATACTGAGAAAAAGAAAACCCATATAGACACTTCTGCCAATTTAATATATAACAACAAAATTTTAATTGATAGTGAAATATAAAACAAGCATCATTTTCTTAATGCTTTAAATCATATAAATAGATATGTGTGCCAGTTGAAAATGAGAAAGATGTTTATCCATGGTAAATTCTATGTGTAGTAAATACTGCATTAGTAAAAAAGAGCATACTATAAATTCTGCTGAGAATTTTCCTTCTTCAGCAAATGTTAATAACATGTCTTTTGCATCTCCTATGAAATAAACAGCTATGCATAGAAGTGAAAGCACAAGAGTGAAATCAAGATTAAAAGGCAAAAGAATAATGGATCTAATTGTACAACATTTACTTAACCCAGATTATTAATAATTTCATTGTCCCTGTTCCTCAAAATGGTGACTAATTTAGGTAATTTTTAATAGAAGGATATGCATTTTTGTATGCTGTCCTTTGTGTAGCTGTATCCATGGTGTGTGTAGTATGCATGGAGATCAAAAAGATGGTACAAATAACAGCAAAATTGCATTTTCGGGAAGGTCTTTGGTCTTTTCAGTGATTTATTTTAACATAGCCATGTCGAAGGTAGTTCAAAGTCTTCTAAGCAATTACAGTTTTCTGTTAACAGTAAAGACATTTAATTACTGTCCATTTAGCTGGAAATGTTATCATTCCTGACATTAGCCAGAATAATAGTCCTCACTGTACTCTACGTTTAAGTGTCCAGCAGCATTACAGACTTGCAAACTTGAGCAGCCTGGTCTAGTGGATGGTGCCCTGCCCATGGCAGGGGGTTTGGATCATTCGATGTTGTAACAGCTAGATCATTAATGCTTTCAGTCTTTCATATCTTAATTATTACGACAGTGTTTCCTAATGTAGGTACATTAACATTTTGTGTTTACACAGTCCCTTAAAGAATTCCATGGTGTAATTATTCAGTGATTATGCTTGTTAATTTTTGTTTCTAAAGTATTTTAATGTAAATGCTGCTTCTTCTGTAGAATTTTATCAGATCCATAGATTCAGGAGAAACAAACTTGGATGGAGCAATAGGTAAGGCAACCTATGATGTTGCAGTACTTTTACATGCAGGCATTGTAACTGTTGCATTTTGTAAAGAAATATGATGATTTTTACCAATAGGGCAAGCTGCATCAGAAGAATTGATTAAGACTACTTTATCAACCTTTGAAGCAGTAACACAGCATCCTGTCTTGTTGACAATCCATCGCTTGACCGTAAGTATGGCAACAAATTGAATAGTTACAGGATAATTGGCCTAATTCCATTGATAAATAGAATGTTTTGAATATCTAGAAACTGTTTAAAATATGGTTTAAAATGTATTGTGGTTCTATTTGGCAGGAAGATTCCTTATTGTTTATAGAGAGATTTAATTTTCAAAGCAGCAGCAAGGCATTTGGACTCAGTTTACTAAGTTTAGTTGAGAAGTTAGAGGGAGAATGAGAAGGGCTTAAAGTTTAGAAATAGCAGTTTTAAAATTATTTTCATGTAAATATAACACTTGATTCTGTAAGTCTTTCTTCAGCCTTAAAGCAACTATGTTGCTATATATTAGTGAAAATTTCACCACTTTATTTGTCATTATGCTTTTAACATAGCTTGGAAAGACCACCTCTGAGGCTTTGAAGATCACATTCCATCGTTACTCTTCCTGATGAGATCATGAATAGCAGTTATGGTGGTTTTTTTCTTTTGTTTAGTCATAACAGATTGCTTACTAAAAATTGCAATTCAATTGCCAAACGCACATATACTGTAAGCTTCTTACACCACTAAGATTTGTTTTCTTTGAAGTTTTTGGTTAAATGATTTACTGTGAGCTAAGCTAGCTGAAGTCAGAACAATTACATTGTGAAACAGTTGTCAGCAAATCAGTAAGTTGAAATGTTTGAATGTGTTTGACAAATGATTGTAGCCTGTACCAATGCATTTTTTGAGCCTAAATTCCCACCAAACATATAACCCACCATACTTACTGTGGTGACCATTTAATTCAAACTGAAATTTATGTGTTTGTATTGGAATTAGGTTAAGGGCATACTCAATATAGCAGTTAAACCAAGAAGGGCATTAGTAAATTATAATACATACGAATGAGTGATGTTAGGGATTGTGCTAGATAAGAATGGGTAATTTTAGAAACTAAGTGGTTTTAGAAGTTGAATCCTATTTGGTGTGCGTGCTAGTTGGGTATTTAGGTTATAAAGTCTTAATAAATGAAAATAGTAAAATAAAAAAAAATTGGAATTTAAAGAAGTTTAATGTTTACTTTATTAATGCTCACAAAAGAGTGGTATTCAAGAAAATAGTCCTTATGCGCAAAAATCTAACCAATTAATAGTCAGAGGGGAAATAGTACAGAACTGAACAGTTCAATTTACTTTAAAGTAATATGGCAAACAATGTTCTAGAAAAGAAATGTGAATGTAGTTGAGGTATGAATGCCTATTGATATCTCTCCAAATGCCTGGCAGCCTGCAAGTCACTGTATTATGACAGTATCATTCTAGAATCACCTCAATTTTTTAAAATAACCGTTTTACTTCTGTGGATTATCAGTGTGTCTTATATTGACAGAACTATGTACCATTTTTTATGGACGTCCATCAACATTTACTGAAATTGCAGTACCTTGTGTCAGCACATTAAATAACATTCCTGTAGCTGTTTGAACTTTAATGGTCTGGGGGTTTTTCCCTGAAAAAATAGCGCCAAGGAGACAGGTCCATGTTACAGCTCTTCTTCCCCTGCTCCCATCCCTGCGTTCAGCAGAACATTATATTGAAGCCAGGGAATGACTATCCTACTCTTTTAAGTAACCCTTGGCTAGCAGTAGGTGAGTTTTATTTAGGTAAATTTCTGGGGAACAGTTTACTTCATCACATATGTTGAAAGTTTTAGATGTTTATTTAAAGTCCATCTGAGCACATCAGTTAACCTTATGTAGCTAGGGATAAAACTTCTGCCTATGCAATGCTTGTAAATTTAGGACGCATGCCACTTCTGTAGAATAGTTTTCCTGATTTAGAATAGGTATAAATTTGAAATTTATTAACTAAAAATAATTATATCCTTGTCAATGAACAGTTTGGGGGTTTTTTGAGAAAAGAAAATCTATTACTTCACTCACTCATTTTCATAAATAACAGTTCTTCCTAATTTAAAAGAGCCCTCCTGACATTCAGCAAATAGCCATTCAGACACAAAATAAAGTGGATAAATTGCCTTGTATTTGGTATGTTAAATTCAAGAAATTGTCCACTGTAATTAATAATCTCTAACCACATCTGCCACTAGTGGTGCAAACAGTAATTAGTTTAATACTATTTACGAAGTCTAGTGTGCTAATTATACTTGAATGTACAGCATACATTACTTTAGAGGAAAGTGGTACTTCATCTTCTGTGATGCATACAGAATATTTTTAGAATTGCTGTTACTCAAGGGATATCTTCTAATTGCTGCTCGCGGAGCATGACTATGAATATAAATCTATGAATATAAATGCCAGCACCCAGTGGAACTTGGTGCTTTTTTAGAAAGTTGAAGCAAGTCATGTTCAAGCTTCCAGATCAATATTTACGTATAACAATGGTTAATAGGAAACTCTTTTACTGGAGTGAAATGTGTATCCTAGGCTGATTTCTGATGCCTGGCTTGCTTGTTTAGACACAGTTGGTTACAAACAGCATTTTCTGGAGGGGGCAGGGGGGGAAGGCCAAAACCTTCTTGAGAGGATGCATTCTTTCCACTACAACTGTGACATTGCTTGAAAGTCTCTGATCAGAAATGCATTTTAAATGCATTTCTAATAAAGTTTAATGAATTTAATAAAAAGTGAGGTTATATTAAGCAAGAAGAACCAGTAAATTTTTCAGTTCAGTTCTGGTTTTAGTTTAGCTGCAATGGCAATTGTGTAAGTTAATAGGATTTTAAGAGCAATGTTTCAGGTTCTTTTCCACTTTGAGAAGAAAAGAACTGCTTGTTCTGGGTTTTAGTTCATGTTTGATTTGCCTTTGTATTTGTACCTTGAACAAAGAAAATTGAATAAATTGATTTTTGGTGATCAAATTTCTGATTACCATCAACCTGAAGGCAGTTATTAAGAAGATTCATTTCTGCGGGGACTGGCTTTATTATACATTGCTAAGTATGATAAAGTCAAGGGAAATTAATTGAAAGTGCTCAAATGAAAACCAGTAGTGAGCAGTAATTTCATTTTGCATGCAGTTGTGTGCATTTTTACAAGATAAAAAGACTAACAGTAAGTGTGACTCAGCAAGTTTTGACAAAACTGTAGATTTTCAGGTACGCAACTATGATGATGAAGGCCATCAAGAAGAGTCTCTATAGACCAGAATGGAATATAAACCCTGGTTTCTTAAACTGACACAAGTCCAACTGCCTGTTTCCTCCATGTACCAAAACTGGAAAAGTATTTATTAAATTTGGATAATACGTGTTATAATAATATTTATTTTCAAATTTTGGTAAAGGTTTAGATATAATTAACTGGAAGAATTCCATGCTGACTGTATCATTTGCATTTTTCTTTGTTAAGTATATTTATTTGCCTGAAGAAAGGACATATGCTAATTCAGAGCACTTTGAGCAGTGATGAGGTTCATGATGGCAGGCAGTTCCTATGGGAGTCCTTTCTATACTCTAACTAGCTCCTAAAAATGATCTGTATACTGCACAGATGATGTTTTAACCAAAGCATGCAAGTTCTCTAGTTGAGGCAAAAGTTTGTCAGCAGTGATTCTCCTCCTCAAAGTTTTAAAACTTATTTTTAAAAATCAGGCTAAAATAAAACACCCTGAACATGATTAGTTGCTTGATGGGAACACAGGGAAAAAGCAGCAAGACATGGAAATCTACTAGTTGACAATATTTTCACCAAAGATGACAACACAAGGGTTAGAAACTTCTGCAAGTGCTTTTTTCTGCTAATCTTAGTCTTTTCTTGATTCAGCATCAGTGGCGTTCTTCATCCACAGTCTGTTCTGATCTAACCACTGACACCTTAATTTTGTCAATGTATGAACATATTGTACAGCATTTCTTCAATCACTTTCCCTTTTCAAGTAGATTAAAATTCTACACCCCATGTGGCTTTCTGTCCATTAAGCTAATCCACATGAAATGAGACTTTTTTGTGAAACCAGTTCTGTACTGACGTCAGTGCTGTCTCTTCCCAGAAGTAAGGAGGGGGAAAAAAAAAAAAAAGCCAAAGCCTCAATGAAGATTCTGAAGTTCTGAAGACTTTTCGAAAAAAATTAAGAAATGTCATCCTTCTCCCCAGTTCATTCTAAGATGCATTAGATTATTTTTTCTATTACATTCTGAGAGATTACTGGCAATATTAAAACATTGAGGAGCATGCTGTGCCTCCAGCAAATGCTTTAAGAAATTTGAAGGCAGCATGATCTTAATTCCATGGTCACTTTCAGCAATAACTTTGTATGTGGAATTGTAATGAGAATAAATGTCAAGGTGATGTTGGATGTTGTGGATCTTACATGTGACTGGAAAAAAAGGGTTTGGGAGCTGGATGGTCTTTGCTTTGGTATGTTCTGCTTTGAATAGTGGATAAGGAGAAGATACTTCTGAATAATTGTAAGTTAAACATATGCACACTGAAAAGAACCAGATACCTCTAGAAAAATCCCTGGAAGTAAAGTAATGGGCTTAGTAACTTGTGAGTTTGGATATGATAGCTACATGGAATGGATAGTGTGGTTTCTTTATGTAAGTTTAATTCTGGGGTCTGATTTTCACTTGAACAGTATGGCTCACAAATGCTACTGGAACAGGCTTTAAGCCTGCTTACTTTTTCTGTCCACCCAGTGTAACACCAAATGTCAAGACTTTGGCCTTAAGCACTGCTTTGAAGAGCTCTGAAACTCAGTTTTAATCAAGGGAGAGATTTCTTTAGGTCGTTAATATTAACCACATTAAGGTAAGTTCAGTGAATTCATCCTTGCTGTCTACCACAAGTGAATGGAACTTTAGTTCTCCATCATCATGCTGAGGGGCTACCTCCTGCTAAATAGGGATTTAGTGTATTGGATCCTTCCACTGTGAGCCCTTGTGGTGTTATAACTGCTTTTTAGTGGGTACTTGTGGAGCTTGGATTTTGCACAGTGAGGTTAAGTAAAGCTGAGGCAATGTTTGTTTGTTTCTAACAAAGCAGGCTCATTTATTTAGGGTGCAGGCCTTGTGTCTGACATCTCTTGAAGAATGGAAACATGCAGAGAAGGACTGAAATAGTTTTCTCTTTCAAGCCCCTCCTAGTAGCTGGTGAATACTTAACGACTCTGAAACCGTGGCTTGTCTCTCTTTCTCTTTTGGGGGTTAAAGTAACATACAGACTTTCCAGAATAATTTCTATAAAAATTGTGCCTTGTTTTCAAAAGATCTGATTTTTCTAAGTAATAAAATACTGTAGAAAAGTGAGTATAGCTTTTCCTCAGTGCTCATACCTCAGTAGTAGAGTTTTTCTTGCAGAAGTCAGAAGTCAGGGAACATTATGGGGACAGATGTTCTGGTTTTGGACAGTATACTTGGATTTCCCAAAACTTTGAGTCATGCACCGAAGACTTTTCAAATCCATCAGTGGCTCTTCCCTCTTACCCTCTGACAGATCAACTTCTTCTAACTAGTTAAATTTACTAAGTAGAGAATAGAGATCAGTTTTTAAAAAATTAGGTATATTAAGAATGGTGCCTTACAGAGATCTGTGTTGCAACATATGCTATTTATAACTAATCCAGTAAAGGGAATGAACAGGGAGGTGGCAGAACTGACTGACACTAAATTATTCATAGTAGTGAGAATTAAAACTGACAGAAGAGTTGCAGAAGGTTTCGAGATATTGAGTGAAAAGACAATAAAATGACGTGCAATTCAATACTGATAAATGTCAAGCGACACACATGGGGAAAATCATTCCAATTATGCATATGCAGTGTCAGGCTCTAAACTACTCGCAACTGTTCTAGAGATCTTTTAGCGTCATTTTTCTATGAAAATGATAGCTTTATACTCAGCAGTAATCAGAAAGACAACTAGATTATTAGAAATGACTGGTAGAAGATCAGACAAAAAAGCAGAAAACATCACTATGCCATGGTAAGTCCATGGTGCCCTCAAGCGTTGATTGCTGAATGCAGTTGTGGTCATTCACTTCTAAAGGGAATGAAGCTTAACAAGAAATAGTACAGCTTGATGGTGTGAGGAGGGACTGAGTAGATAAGAACTTCAGCTTGGAAACAAAAAAGAGTATAGAATTATGAATGGCATGGGAAAGATGAATTGGAAATAATTATTAATGGTTTTCATAAAATAAGTGGGTATCAAGTTAGTTGCTTTAAAATAAACACGGAAGTGCCTTTTCATAAGGCATAATTCAAGTGTGGAATTCAGTGCCATAGGTTTTGCACGTGCTAAACGTATAAATACATTTAAAATAGATTTTGACAAATATATGGGAGAAAAGGCTAGTAAGCATTATTAAATGCAAAAATACAGATACAGCATCAGCATATGAGTTTTCTTAACTCAAGAGTTACTTTACTAGAAACTAGAGTTGTGCTTTATGCTTGGTCTATTTCTCCTACTCTTTCAACTCCTTTCTAGTTGTCAGAAACAGGATTACCAGGTTTGAGTACATTTTTGTTCAGACCTGTACATGTGTATTATAGCTGGGAGATGTGACTATAGTGTGTATGGAAGCTTCTAGTATTTCATTCCTGTTTTGGGTACTGATAACAGCAGAGTTGTGGCAGCATAGCCTTTGAATGCCATCATTACAGAACTATACAATGGTGGCTTTGTGCAGTTAGGGATTTATCAGGAACTGGGTATCAGGCGATTTAGAAGATGGTAGAAACCCAGATATAGCTATGATCATAGTCAATCTAGTCTGTTTAGGCTTTAAGAATATTTCTCACTTTCTTTTGTAAGCAATCTTAGTGATAAAGACTGAGACAAGAAAAATACCTGCCTGCCTTCATGCATATATGGAGATTTGATTCCATGTAGATGTCAGCAGTCATTTAAAAGAAGGAAAAAAGAATCCTTGTTTGAGTATTCTTCTATTTGTTTCAATCCCTCTTGAAAATGCCAAAATACTAATACCATGCTTCTGTATACATAACTTACAGAAACTTCTGCAATTCACTGGTGAATTTATTAAAAATATTTTATGTACCATTACACTTCAGTTTATTTCACCTCAATAATTACTTGCTTAGTTCATATCTTGTTTACAAATTTGTGTACACATTAGTAAAAAGAGTGACCCAAATGGCATGGAGAGATTATGAGGGTTGCAGAGTTACCAAGTATCTGATTGAAGGTTCACATACAATTTAATACTTGCTTCTCCCTTCAGCATGTGAATTCTGATATGCACTTGCATCACAAAATAATTTTCCATAGGATTAGTGCTTCATTTACTTGATCTCCCCACCGCACTGAACTGATGTGAAGCAAACACCTGCTATGGAGAATTCCATTCTAAACAGTTTGCCAAAATTGAGGTTCATATTGGAAAAGGTCAGAAAAAGCTACCACAATTATTCAAGACCTAAAAACCTTCTTTGCAATGACAGTTTAAAACCTGTTTATCTTAGACAAGACAACTGGCTTAACTACATTTGCTAATGTGGAAAGACTACTGTTAATACTAGGTGAAAGGGAAAGAAGATTTGAAGTTTTAGAAAGTGAAGTTGCATTATACTGCTGTATACTGCCATCTTAAGTGGTATCAGTCTGAGTCAATGCTGCTGCTGCTGAGTGATTCATAATCTTCTGAGTCCCTACATTGCTTCAGACAAGAGCTGCTTTTTTGTCTCTTTTCAGTCTCATATCTTTAATTTACCACTTAAATGTGCCTCTTCATTTGAGAAGCATTGCAGTAGTTTGAACTGGGTTTTTTGGACTGAAAGACCTTAAGTACATACTTTTTTTTTTTTTAATCCTACCTCACAGGTGTGTTATAAGTGATAAATTACCATTTGTCGAACAGTTCAGAAACCTGCACTAATGGGGTTGTTGGAGTGTAATGTAGTTCTGTTATTTATCTTATTGCATATTAAGTGAAAAGACCGTGAAGTATTTCAAAATTATTAAGTGTTACAGAAGTCACTACATCTATGATATATAGCATTGCCTATACAGACATAAAGGCTATTTATACTTGCAAGAGTAGTTTGACTTCCATATCTCGGGCAGAGTCCTTTACCTCTTTTATGTATGTAACAAAGTATGTAATTAAGTATGTAACAAAGGCACTTTTGGTAGTTTTTTCAGAAGTGGAAAAAAGCTGGACTAAATTAGTCCCTTAATGTCAGAGATTCATTTAACAGAGACCACCAACCAGCAGTGAAATAGTTGCTAATTGTAGTTATTGCTAACTAGATGGTAACTTCGTTTAGTGACCCCTTTTCATATATACTTCCAGCTTCTATAGATGTTTCTTAATAGCTTAGTAGCTGCATAAATCTAGAGGAATTCTATCTTCCACTATTAATCACTAAAAGAAAACACATGGGGGATTGTAATGCAGGCTTGTTACACCCAATCCTGTCCATGGTATAGTGAGAAACTACACAGTAATTTTATTTGTATAAATAAATCCAAGGCCAAGCTTTGTATCCATGATGCATACTTAAAAATTGTAGGGCTGTCCATCCATCCTTTCCACAAAACCAAAGCATGTCCTGTCTAAATAAGCTATATTTTACCAATGACTTAAGACTTAGCAATTCATTTTTTATAGAGAATACTAATAATACACTATTTTTGTAATATTAGATATTTAAAACTGAGTTATAACCTAGTTTGCCGTAAGTTGATTTCAGATCGAACTAAGATGACTAGTCCTGCGACAGATGATTAATTGTAACAATACACTCATGGACAATAAAGAGTTGACTGGATTATTTTTTCTCATGTTTCAAATCTTAAGTCTGCTAATTTAAATTTTAATGGAAGACTGTGTATTACCAGAATGGTAGAATTTAAAATTTTATCAAGACTCTCTACTAAGCTTAAGGATATTTCATTAGAGGTAGTACATCTTTCCTGATGTATTTTAGTTCTATGCAGGTTTGTTTTAGGAGGATGTTTCTTCTGAACTCTATTTGATGGTTTGTTTATGGATTAAAGCATCAGGATTAATAGATATTCTAATACTCTTTTTTCTTAATATCTGACATCTGCACTGAACTCTGTATTTTAAATTACAATTCACTCTCAATGAATTATATCAAAGTTACTGTTGGTTTATATGTAAAAGTACATTACTGTCTGTAACTTTATGACAAGTTACCAGAGAAAAGGGAACTTGGTTGCTTTGTAAGAGTGATTATGGATGAATTTCCATGATTATTCCAGCCCTCCTTGATTAAGGGCTCTAGCAGTGGAATAAACATAGATGATAGTGTATCTCTGTTCTATTTTTTTTTGAATAATTTAAGCCAGATCTTTCTACTTCTCTGTTTTAGGTTGAAGACTGTATCTTCCCACCACTAGTTTCTTTGGTCCACAGTCAGAATGGTAAGTATATGGCCACATCAACTACAGTTTCCATGAATTCCACATTTTGTTTTAATTAGACTTCAGTGTGGTCACATTCTTGGCACCTTTATTTTCAAGTGGAATGGAGACTCTTCAGCTTGCGGTTGCTCTCAGAAACCACATCACTGCTTTTAAACCACGAGGTCATGGCTGAGGAGAAAGGGGAGAGCCCTGACTCAAACAGCAAGCTTCTGTCTCTCATTAGAGATTCATTGCTGCCTCAGTAAGTATAATATTGCTCCTGTAATTGGGACTAACTTGATACTTGCTCCATTTTGGCAGCATATTTGTTTGTACTACCCTTTTTATGTTTAAATGGCAAAACGAAAAGAGGAATAGCAGTTAACTGCTGCCAGAGTTCTCTGCCCAACATCTCTCTCCTAGCTTTATTTAGTACTTTGTCATATACAACAAAAACACAATTTCTCTGTGACACTCATTTCTGATACTGTGCCTCTGGCTACTCTTGTAGTGAAACAACTTTCCCCTAGCTTTTGGGCTGTGATTTAAATACTCCTCTTTGTTCCACTAATGAAGTCAGAACATTCTAACAGCAACATCTTTTTGTCTATTTTGGATATTGTGCCCTCATGTAAGATGTTCTGAAGTCATATGGAATGGCATATAACTTTTCAAAAAGGAATAGTACAGGATGGATTAGTCCTCCATGATCCACCCAGGGGTTATTGCCTCTAAATCACTGTCCTTTCCTGCTGCTCCAAGCAGCAGAAAAACCCTACAGCAGAGTAGATGAAACTACAGCCTGTGGGCCAGATGTGGCCTGGAACTTCATTTATATGGTTTATGGTGAAATGAGGCCTGTCATTTTAAAATGACTTGCAGGTGAGCGTAAAGACAGCTCTCTGTGTTTTATGCATGTACAAACTGTGACCTGATAACATCTGTGAGTAGCGGGAAGGAAAGCACAAACACAAGACGAGTACAGTAATATCTTTCACGTTGTTCTAATAATGTTACAATGTATTTTAATGCGTCATCCTCAAAAGTTAATAATTGTAAATACTTAGCTGCCCTAAGTGAGAAAATTGTTCCCCACCCCTACATTAAGTAAGTGGCAGAAGGGTAGAGGAATGGATGCTGGATTATGATTAGAAGAACAGTGCCTTCCCCAAAAATAAGACTCTCTTGCTAATTGACTAATGTTCTTACAGCATGAGGACCAAGTTCTGTCTATGCAAGATGTATAATCTTTTCTCTGTGAGAGATAATGGGAAGGAAATCGTAGAGCTCTACGGAGAAGCTTATTTTCACACCTTTCTTTACATTATTTTTTTCCTCTGGGAAATACAGAATTTATCAATATGAATTCAAATGCAAACTGGAAATATTATTTTTAAAATAGAGTATATGCATTATTAAAAGCTGTCAGATAATTTTATTCCGATAGGGGAAGAGACCTGGAGTCAAGCGGGACCAAGTTCTGTCCTTGCTCTGAAAGTTGCCCTTTGCAGACATGCCCATCTTGTAAAATGTTTCTTATTGAAGGAGAGGGGGTGGAGTGGGTGAGGGGGTTGGGGTGGGTGGGTGTCGGTGTCATGCTAGTTACAAACTAGAATGAAAACAGCAAGAATACTCCTGTCTCCAAGCTAATTAGCTCAATTGAGTGGCAGGGCTTTTTGATCTAAGACTAAGTATGATCCTACTTTGGGGACTTCACCTGTGCTATCTGCGTGCATTGCATTGTAGATGTATGCAAAAGGGCTCTTGTGGCAGCTCAGAATCTTGGTTCCAGGCTTTAAGTGTTTCCTGAGTCTGTTCCTTTATCTCACTAGTAGAGATGATGACGCTTGTATTTGGAAAACCATTTGAGATTATCTCAAGAAAATAAATATTGAAGTTTATGATATTTGGAATATATTGGAACTTGGTATAAAAAATTTTTACTCTAGTTTAGGAGCATAGTAAAACAGTATGTAAAACTTGTAATGATTCAGAAAGAGTTAACTGGTGTCTGCATATTTAATACATTACTTGAACCTGTGGGTTTAGCCAACCCCCTAGTAAATATGTTCACCTCTGGGGAGCAGGTGATCAGTGCAAGAAGGCACAGAGGGAACAAAAAGCAGAGGAGGGTTTGAGGATTTTCTGCAGAAAAGAAAACTCAAACTCGGTTTTGACTTGAAAGCCTCACAACTCAATTTGGAGAAGACTCAAAAAGAAACTAGGAAGAGACCAAAGCACCTGCTTTGGATATCAAAAAAGACACAAAAGGTAAGTTTTGTTCAGCAGTGTTCTAGGCATAGGTAAGAAAATATTGATGGGAGGTCATACACTCTCTACAGTTCTCAAGCTTTATCTGGATGCAAAGGGGTCTGGCCTAAATCTAAGGAGAAGGGAGGTCTAAGATTCAGTGTAACCTACTTGTAAAGATAATGTAAAGCTCTATCCCAAGAAGTAAGAGTTACTTGAAAACTCTGAGATAGAAAGTAAAGAGAGAAGTAGATTGTGTTTGCAGGCTGAAGAGGTGTTTGCTGATGTTGTTTAGTTGATGTTGTTTTGCTGATGTTTGCTGTTGCTGGACAAAGGGTGGGACAGAGTGTGACTCAGCTGGAGGACAGTGAAAAGGAGAGGCATGCAATAGCTGCTTGTTCGTGGGCAGTCTGGGGAAGTAGGTATTTCAACCCCTTTTGATTCTACTTTTTAAGAACTGAGAGCTGTTGAGTATGGAAGGGAGGGACATCTGGGTTTAACTTGTGATGGTCTTTTTAACAAAGGTTATAATGATACTCATTTGTGTATATATTTCATTCCTATAAATACCTTCTGCAAATTAATTTGTTTAAATGTAAAACTGACCCAGGAAATAGAATTTTGGTCACTATGCATGAAATAGAAATGGTCTTTATTTTGAGATAAATGCAGGAATGCAGTATTTAATACTTTGTTTCTCATCTTCTGCATCATCAATAAAATGGTAATTCCCTTAAATATTTGTGCATTTGTAGATCAGAAAGTTAACTTCCTCATAGGATTTTGATTGAATTGAATGAAATAGCTTAATTAAATTTCAGTTCACTGAAAGGTTAGTTGCCTGAGTGTTTCATAACCAAAATGAAACTTTCAGCTATAGAAAATGAATACAAGCTTTCTGTTACATATCCAGGTTTTTTTATCAGAAATTGAAACATCAGCTCTTTTTCATTTAATTCTTAATATTCCTAATTATATATGATTTGAAATTTGAGCCAGAAGCAGCAAAATAAGAGGAATGTGTAAATAAAGTTTTATTTCATTTGAAAGATTACGTAGCTTGTTCTTAGTAGACTGCCAAGCCGGTTCTGCAAGTACAAAGTCCAGGATACTTGTAGATAAACTGTCCAGACTTTTTTAAGAGCTTAAAAGAATCCATATCCCCAAATCTTTAGGTCCTCTTGTCATGATTGCTTATAAAAAAGATTGACAAAATAACTCCTTCCAGTGTAGTACCTCTAATTTATATAACCCTTATAAAATGTTCTCTAAAACTATCATTACTAAATTGATTTGTGTTTTGAAGTAGCAGGGATATCATTGGATGAACTCATTCATTTAACAAAGTATCTGAAGCACAGAATATTTTCCCTTCAGAGAAGATTCATGTATTTGTAGCTCCTAATGGCCTTTACTCAGGCAATGTGTTTATATTAATTGCTAAGACATTGACTTTAGTAATCTGCATTTTCTCATGTGGTATTTGGCTTGATGGATCACTGCACCTTCCTTTAGAAATATCCTTTACTAGTGTTATCTTGTGGGAGGGGGAGAATAGAGTTTACAGTAAAAGGAAGTAAAGTGAGACTGTTTTTATTGAACCTCGAGGAATTAGGATGCTTAGTGTGCACAATAGTAAGTCTCTTTCAAATGTAATACATAGAAGCCTTAAAATTGTTTAAAGTGGACCACATTTAGGGAAGGTATTGATGTGTTTATAATAAAAAAAGGATATTGCCAAGTGTCAGATTTTTAAGCTAGGATGGCTGATTCGTTCATTATTACTATTAGGAAGTACCATTTTGGAGACTTAAACCCATGTCTTCTGCAGTGTGCAGATGACTTCTGGCACCTGGGTCACCTGATAGCATCTTTGCTTGCCTTAAAAGATTTAGTCATGAATTCTGAAAAAAAAAATGCAAATAGTTCCATTATGTTTGATAGGAATATGTATTGCTTGCACATAGACACCAGGATCGGTGTCTACTAATGCATTACAGTATTTTCTTCTTTTATGAAGAAAGGGACTTTTTAATCACCAGTGAGAAATACTTGTCTTTTGGGAACTCTTATCTGTTATTTGTAAAGGAGAGATTTTAGTAACTGAAGAGATGAAGCCAACACTGACTTCTATTTGGTTAATTGTGTAGATTCTCTGATGTGGTTTGCAACTGTACAGCAGCACATTCCAGCTAATACGTAGTAGTCACAACACGTTGCCTGTAGGCTGCGTGCTTGTGTTAGCCGCTGTGAAGGAGCTACATCAAGACTGCACAGCTGGCGTGCTTCACCCTCCTCATCATAGAGTTGTCCAGATCAGAGACTTGGACAGAAAGCACCACATCTCCTTCTAGATTTCCTTCCTGTGTTAAATTGGAGTGCTGAGGTGTGGTGCCCAGGGAGAGGGGATCTTAATTCCAGAGAATAGCTGGCACACAGTAGGGTACATGCCAACACCCAGGTGGTGGGAAGTGATCTGGATTCCTCTGTTCAGGCAGCACTAGGGATCTCAAGATGTCAAGTAAAATTCTTGGTGATTTGCTTGATTCCACTCCCTCCCCCCATCAGAACACAAAAAGAAAAAAAATGTAGTGGAAGCATTTTGTTGCACAAAACATGATAACCTATCACATTTTCCTGCAGATTATCCTTTCATTTGTACTTGATTAATTCTTCATGGTTTTTCTTTTACAAATGAAGAGGTTTATGCTTCCAATTCTATTACTTCCACATGTTTAAAGTAGCACTACTTGTAATCAAAGATGGTATTTTGACATGGCTGAGTCTGTGGGTTTTTATGCTTACTTACATCTTTCTCTCTTGCATCACTGTATCCTATTGCTGTCCAGAATAATTTTGATTTAAACAAAATAAAAATAGCCTTGTTTGTTGGGCAGGCATTACTGGAATGTTAGCAGCAACAGCAAGGTCCATTTTGGTTTTCACCAGCCTGTTTTCCTTTACCAAGATTTCCATGAGGTGATATCTGGAAATGTTTGTGTCCTGGTTTCAGCTGCAATAAAGTTAATTTTCTTCCTTGTAGCTGGTACAGTGCTGTGTTTTGGATTTGGGGTGAGAATAATGTTGATAACACGCTGATGTTTTAGTTGTTGCTAAGCAGTGCTTACAAGGACTTTTCAGCTTTTCATACTGCCCTGCCAGCAGAGGCTGGGGGTGCACAAGAAACTGGGAGGGGACACAGCCAGGACAGCTGACCCAAATGAGCCAAAGGGGTATTCCATACCATGTGATGTCATGCCCAGTATATAGACTGGGGGGAGTTGGCCTGGGGGCACTGCGGCTTGGGGATTGGCTGGTCAGCGGGTGGTGAGCAATTGTATTGTGCATCACCTGTTTTGTATGTTCTATTACTATTATTATTATTTACTTTCCTTTTCTGTCCTATTAAACTGTCTTTATCTTAACCCATGAGTTTTACTTTTTTTTTTTTTTTTTCCTCCACGATTCTCTCCCCCATCCCACTGCAGGGGGTGGGGGTGGGGAGTATGTCAATGGCTGTGTGGTGCTTAGTTGCCAGCTGGGGTTAAACGATGACAGTTTCATAGATTTTTTTTTTTTTTGTAGTTTTATCTTCACTGCCATAGCTCTCAAGAAATGCTGTTTTTGAAGTGTATTCATATTGTTCTGTTCCATATTACTTGGAAAATGGAAGTATGCTCTAGTTAAAGCAATATTTTTTGAAATTTGAAATAAAACATAAACCTCAGTGTGAGTGTTCCACAAGTGAAATATTTTGTTTTGAGAAAAATCACTATGTAAACAAAATACAGAGCTTAATCGTATATAAGTTGATTGATGGTCTTCCTGAGCACCCAATAAATCTTCTTCCTAATATTTTGAGGTTTGGTTTCAACTTGTCTCTTGAAGATTAGATTTTTTAATATATAAAATATATATAATATAGATCAAGAAATAAATTATATGCATATAGACAAGATGCATGTTTTATAAATATATTTTAATATAATTTATATTTAAAGATGTGCATGTGTTATAAATATATATATTATTACATATTTATAATTGTGTATCTCTAAAAAATAATGTGTTCTTTTATTACTGCTGCTTTTAAAGTTAATCTGATGCTGGTTTTAAAATACTCTAAGTGAGTCTTGTTTATTGCTTTGTACAGTTCCAAACAGCATTGTATTTCCATTGTGGTTATTATAAGGTTTGGAAATGGGAAATGATGTATTTTTAATATCAACTTTTTAGCACGCATCTCTTGACCTTTTTTTTTCACTGTTGCTACCCCTTTTCCCCCTCCCCTTTCAGGTATGAGCACATTCTGCTGGCTCCAGACCCAGTACCAATGTATGCTCTGAAACTGTTGGTGGCCCTGACTGAACACAGCCCTGCTTCTGTAAGGTGACACAACTACACATTCTCTGTTGTTCTGGGTTCTTTCTATTTCAGTTAATTTTTTTCCATTAGGAAGTAACAATAACTTAGATTTCGCTGTCATACTACTTTGACTAGCACTTAGGATATTTAGAAAATCCTTGGAGAGTATTTGTTATAGAACACAATCTTGGGTCTTTTGTGCCAATTTTATATGATCCTGGTTATTTTAATATGGACTAGAGACAAAATTGTAAGAATTTTAACATTAAAATTATTGTTGAAAACTTAAAAAAAAATTAATACCCAAACTTTATCAAAACCATTTCCCAGGTAAGCATATTTGTACGAGGATAAAGGTGATGTGTTTGTAAAAGTTTAGACCAGTCAATTCACTTTAAAGCTGTTCATTTTTTTCTGCAAATATAGCTACCCTTTTAAGTTCCTAAATATGGATTTTTAATGTTTGGTATAGGTACACTCAGTATGTTTAGAAGTATCTTAATGTCTCTTTCTTCTTGTTCCAAAGTTTAGGCTGTGATGGACAAAAAACCCAAAACAGTGGCATAGAACTTAAACTGCATTTGTTGATAGTAATAAGGAAGCATCTCTCTCATATGTGTGCACACATGCAGCTATTCCTCTTCCCTGATCTGCCCAGAAAATCAGGTTGTTCTTGCACTCACCATTGTCTGTTTATGGTGTCTGATAGCGTTACAGCTAAGAAGTCACTGCATACCATACTGTCTTGCTTTGATTGATTGAAATGAGCACAAGATAAAAAAAAAAAAAATAAGGAAGGAAATTTAATTTGTTTTCCCACTGTTTTTATTACAAAAGATGAAAACATCCTCTTTTAATCTTTTATGATGCTACTGTGGACAGTGCTTTAATATACTAAGTAGACTAGAAATGAACTAGGAAATAGAGTGGCTTGAGATTTTAAATGGTTTGAATACAGTTAATGTGCTTAATTGTATTTTTTATTGTCTAGAAGCTGGTAATGCTACTGCAGGATTTTATGTATTATGCAAACAAAGAGTACAGCTTTTTATTTTTAGAATTAACCTACAGATATTCTAATACTTTGAGTTACAAAAAAATATTTCTGTAATTAGAAAGCTGGATATTATAGCAGCACTTTCTTCTGCATAATGAATTCTCTTTATTTGAGGAATCATGTGTATTTGCCATTAAGCTCAGTGTAGGTAGATTGTAGATGCACACTCATGCTCATGGTCTTCTTACAGCAGACAGCAATTCTTTTCTTAGTATTATTAAAGAGCAGCTGTGGATATCCAATAAACTGTTAATAATTTTAAATACCAGTGTATATGGTACTGTTTTTTAAGGACGAGCTACTAGATTCCAGATACTAACACATCTGTAGTTGTTCCGTTTCTCACATGTCTTACTGGCCCTCTTCTTTTACTTTCACTAAATAATTTGTTTGGCTAGATTTCTGAAGGAGTGGAGTTTATGGAGTTCTCTTTGTCTGTCTTCTTCCTGATTCTTTGACTTCCCAATAACTTTAGCTGGAAGTAGCTGATGCATTGAAAGCATGACAGAAGTGAATAATATATTCATATTTGTACAAACTGCTTGTGAACAAAACAAGAACCAGGTACATGCTACAGTGAACACTAGATCACAATTGATCCTGTTTTGATTTGATGGCTAATTAATCAGTACACATGTAGCTCAGAATTACTCAAGGCATATGCTCTCTTTTGCCCCTTTCATTAGGCACATGGAAAATATCTGCGATTATTGTGATGGGAAGTAAATAAGTAACATCGGATGCAAATCCATTGGGATTAAATTTGTTCTTTGTGGAAAAACTCTACTATATTTTAGTACTGTTAACAGTGATGTGAGTCACTTTTCATTGAGTCTCTGTGGCTTCTCCAAGCTTACATTTTGTCCGCAATGCCTGTCTTTCAAGGATGGATGCTTTCTCCTGTGACTTGCTTTAAACAAATAAAAATGGTGACAGCAAAAAGATTGTAAAATGACAAAATGTTAGATTAGTATTTACTTTATTGTTTCCATGTCTTTAAAAAATAGCTATTATTATTAACCTCATTATGAAATAAAAAAGAGTGAATTGGGAGGAGGATGAGGGCTACTGTGTTTTATTTAGTTTGTTCCATATGATAGCTTGTTCTCAGACATGTTCAACTAATGCATTCTCACTTTCTTGCTCTCTCTTTTTTTTAATCCCACCATTTTTCTTGTATCTCAAACTTAACCTTTCTTCTTCCTATCTCCTCAGTCTCTTTTCCCGATAGAGGCATCAACATTTGAGCAGTTCTTATTTTAGCACTTGAAAGGAGACAGATGCAGTCCAATTTTTTGTTTCATTTTTTTCATAGCTGATACTGTAAATCAGCTAACTTGTGATATCGGAGGAAAAACATTTGTTCATCTTTTTACCATTTTTTTTGACACTTCTGTTTTCTATTACAGGTAGTTTGCTCTATATGGCAGAGGCACAGATATTTGAATATTATTATATTTTTGATGTCTTATAAGCTTATGATAAAATACTGCTAATGTATGATACATATTTTGAATGCTTTTAATAATAAATATCTTGTAAGAATACAGAAAAATACCTTGTAATCTTTGCCATTGCTCCACTGTTGGGGTCATTTTTAACATTCTGTATTATGGGAGCTCTTCCACTCTATTGCTTTTCAATTTAGCAGGGGAGAATTCTAGTGATATCCCATTAATGTGCTGCAGAATTAGATCTCTCACAAACGTAAGTTCCAGCATGTGTAAGATGGTAGCTGTCAAAAAATCTTGAATGTGTTTCTATAAGCACAGTAAGTATTTGGACATCTGATCATATGAGCATCCACAGGAAGAAAATCCAGATTTAGAGAAGGATGAGTGTTTTCTTGTTTGTTTTCACTTTAATGGGTTAGAGTATAAATGAACCCCGTGTTTCCTGTACATACCTGTTTTTACATCATGCAACAATTGCCATCTGATAAAACCTCATTTAGAGATTGTTTACTGAGAAAAATAGCAGATATTGGAAAGATGAGCTTTGAACAGAATTTGTCCATCAGTTGCCTATTTTATACTGGGCTCAAAGCTAATAGTCTGGCTTTAAGAGTGTTAATAGTACTCTGTTGTGGCTCTCCTAAATACCTCTTGCCTTGTTTTCTTCAAAAATTTTTCATGTTTTATGGTAAGAAAAATTGGGGACATAAAAAACCAGTGAGACAATTAATAGCAGAGTTCATCTTTAGGTATTTTGAGACCGATGATTTTTAAAAGAAATCACTGATATTAAGGAAACATGTAGCTTCAGTTAATGATTAATCTCTGGACTACTGGAAATTTGCATTAGGGTTTTTTTTTTTTCCTTTTGTTAATTACTCTTGGTGGATTGTACTTGTGTAAGGAGTTGTTGGAGGAACTGTACTTCTCACAGTGGGAGCGAATGTTTGCAGCAGGGCGAGATCTGATTTAACTATGCAAAGTCCGTACTCAAAAAGAGCAGTATCATAAGATAACTTGTCCTTTGTGTGTTTATCAACTGATGTATAGGTTGTGTGTACTGATAGAAAGTCAGACATAATCTATTCATTAAGGGTTGGGGATTTTTTTTGGTTCCTGCTTTGAGTCTTGTACGCTGTTTTTTTGTGGTCTGTAATAAGATTGTTAGGTTTTTCTAGTAATAAGGAAGAGTTGATGTGAATTTCTTAGTTTCTATTAATATGGTATATCAGTTAGCTCTTCTTAAATGTTTTGACTATTGTAAGGTATTTTATACTGTGCTACTCCAGGAAGCTTGTACTGGATCATGATTCTTAACTTGGCTCTTGGTCTTATAGATAAGGTTGTGAAATGTAGCTATATATTGCTGTGTGCTCTTTTATGCAGCTACTTGACTTACCTTTAGTCAGAAACTTAAAGCATTTGATGGCATTAATACATCTGAAAGCTAAATGCTCAAAACTATGGAGTCTGGTTTTTATAGGTTGCTAAAATAGACATTTTTGATTGTAAGGAAAGGACACAGTAAAGGAAATAGAGTGGAAGTGAGGGGAGTGTCAGATACTGCATTGGATAATAATCATGAGTGGGATGCATTCCAGTATTCTGCTATTAAAGTCATTTCCTGAGGGAGAAAAAAGATCATCTAAAAACTAATGGTGTGACCCTTCTTATATTTATGGTGGATTGAAGGACAGGGGAGCAAATTAAGGAGCATTCCCCACCTCCTATCCTTACTGTAAATTTCCCAGACAGACATTAGGCACTGCTCTAGAAAAGGGGAAAAGGTGGTAGAAAACAAAATAGGAAGGTGCTGAAGAGCAACAAAAGATCTGCTACTTCTAAATGCCACAGATCTAGTACCTGTGAAGATGATAGATGGATCGACCTTGTACACTGCAGCAGATTGTCTTGACTAATTAAAGGAACACTTTATCACAATGTCTTTGAAATCATCCAAGAATGGTCCAATTTTCAAACTTCATTTATACTACTGTTTGGACCCATGCATTATCTATTAAAGACCATTAAAGGCACGTTTTAGAGTTGGTGTTAGTAATGAATTGATCCTCTTCTCATACATCATGATGTTCTACATTAGCATTTGTTTACATTTCAGTATATTCTGAAATGGTCTATCTAATGCCTATGCCCTCAGTTTCAGAAAACAAACAGTTAAAAAAAAAAAAAAAAAGCCAACCCCCGAACCAAACTCCTTGGAGTTCAATTGGGTGCTTTTAAGTAGTTTGTGTTGGTAGAATTGTGATTTGGTTCACAAACACTTGTTAGTGTTGTGCCTCTTTGAACCTGGTGTAGTTTCTTTGCCATTATTCTAGAGGGCTAGCACTTCAGTGCTGTCCTGTCCTGGTGAATTGATTAATGTGGGCTTATATTAATTGCTTTAAAAATACTTTGTTCTTCTCATTAGTCATTTTAATTTCCTAGTTTAAGGTTTAAGTGCTTACTTTAAAAAGTAGATCTATTTGCTTCTAAATTACTTCTCTGTTCTTATG